ATGGCCTCAATGTCGACCTCCATCTCCGTCTTCTTCGCGAATCGGCCCTTCACTCTCGGCCTCATCTCCGCGTAAGCCTTCCGCGACGCGTACCTTATCGTCTTCTCGAACCTCCGGCTCTTCCTCTTCTCTCTGTACCTCATCACTCTCGCCTCTCTGTCCTTTCCCGCCAACTGTACGCCGGTGGAGCTGCTCAGATCGCCGCCGCCTGCCACCGTTTGCCCCAGAGAGTACGAAATTTCCGACGCCGAGCTCCCCTCCGGCACCACCCCTGCATCAAACGACGTCGAAGAAACCTGAAATATTTAGATTCGAAATCAGAATCTATAAATCGCCCAGATAATTCTTCTCCCAATTTCGACTGGGCGCTGTTATTATCAAAATCGAATTAAATTATGAATTCATAGATTTAATTAGTGTTTAGAAATTAGAAATCAATCATTTCTACTCACACTGTGACTAAGTGATGAGCGGGAATTGGAAGACATTGCACTGGGGGTTGTGAAATCGATGTCGAACTGGTTCGAGATCGGAGCCGTAGGTTTGGATGATCGGACGGGGACGATGCTATCATTTCCGGCGTCGTATTGTCCGACACAATTTGTGCCGGAAAGGGAGACGTGATAGTCAAAATCTAAGAAACGACCGGAGTCCGGGAACGACGAAAACGAGGGTTTCATATCCGGGATGAGAATCTGAGATTTGGAGGGAGGCGCCGGATCCCACGGGAGGGGATCGGAGGCGGCGTAGGACGAACGGAGGGCCACTTCCGCGGCGGAGTCGTAGAACGGCGAGAGGGGGACGCGGTCGTGGCGGCGGGCGAGCGGGTTGGCGGAGTGGATGTCGCGGTCGCAAGCAACGCACAGCGCGGCAGCGTCCGCCTTGCACGTGACGGTGGCCGGAGCCCGCTCGCAGACCTCGCAGACCCAGACGCGGCGGTGGAAGGGCCCCGCGCCGCCGTCGTGAGCTACCGCGTCGCAGGACAGGCAAACAAACGCGGCGTGCGCCTCGCAGAACACGGACGCGGACGACTCCTTACAATAATCGCAAGGTCGGGTAGCAGCGGCGGCAGAGAGACTCCACCTGCCGCCGCCGCCGACGTCTCCGCCGGAGAAACATCGAAGGCCGCCATCATCGACCATACCCATGACCAAAATGTTGGGAGTGGTGGGGAGGTGCGAGTATAAAGTGAATAGGAAGAGAAAATGGAAACGAAGAAAACAGCTTTGACAATGGGAGCGGCGAATCTTAAGGAGAGAAGAAGGGAATGGCCAATGAGGAGATAGGGAGGGCGACACGTGGGTGAAGATTTGGCCACAAAATAGATTTAGCTTGTGACACTATTCAATTTAATTCTCAATAAAAAATACTATTAGTTGTCAAATAGCTAGCTAAATTGTCTATGAAAGTGTATATGCACTATCCAATATCCATTTTAAATTTAAATCTACAATTATAATAAATTATTTTATACTATATTATATTATTCCAAAAAGACATATATTTGTATAATATAGTGTGTGTATAATATATTAATACAATATGAAGCATATGTGTGTATATTATATACTCATATTTATATAATGTGGGGGAGCCTGCTAGCCCGTGCGAGCCAAACCTAATACCCAAATCCGTCTATATTATCTTGTGGGCCAGCCTAGCCCAGATGAGTTTATATAGTTGTTCATATCTGCCCATTTTAAGGGCGATATGGACGGGCCAGACGTGTTGGCCTAAATTTGTGTTGATCTAGTTTACAAAGTTCAATCTAGACATGGGCCACGCACCGAAGAGAAGAATAGTTGATTTGACCCCAAGTAAGTGTGCTCGGTAATTGCACTTGGCTCCCATGCTTCAAGTGCGGCTCAATGAGAAGGCCATGAAAGGGCCCAAGATACTCCCCTCCTTGTTTGGGCCTCACTTCTGGGCATGGTCCAAACCCTGATAAGATGTGTCACGCTAGTGGCATGAGTAGGTAGATGTGTACATAAAATGGAAGATATAATAACCTTCACTTCTTCATTTGTAATGATAGAATGAAATTGGTCTTTATGATATTATTGCCTAAATTTCAATGTTCCATTGTTTGTGAGCCAGAACCCCCAAATCCAAGATTCATCGATTACAATATTTAATATTATAAACTGACAAAATTGGGATAACTGTTATCACCTGATTTAAACTACGTCTAAGAAAAAGAAGCAAAATCTAATAATAAACTAAAATATGAAGAGAAGACAATATGAAATATCAGAGTCAAAACAATCGCGACTTAATTGTTATTGTGATGAGTGAGAGAGATTTGAGTACAAGAATAATAAGGGAACTAATGTCTATAATTTGAATCTCACAAATAGAGAACAACATAAGTTTATAGCAGCCTCAACAAAAGCTTATAAAAGTATGTACTCTGTAGAGAACACGGACATTGGATTTCAATGTCATGAGATGACATTGACTCCAGTTGGGACACCTGCGGTGTCTGATTCATAAAATTGATACTAGTTCATACATCTCTAGCCCCGGTAAGCTCCCTTCCCGGCCTGACTCGAACCCAGTCGCCCTCCCTTGTACTCCTTTTTTAGTTGACTTTGAGATTAAAAATTTGTTCAAAAACAGGCTAGGGGTTTGAATTTATTATGGTTGGACCCCAATGTTGTCCATCTTATCCTTGTCATCTCGTCAATGGACACATCCTAAAGGCAGCGTTTGGCAGTTTCAACATCTAGTGGAAGATGCATAAATGTCTGAGTAAAATTGATAGGAAAACTTCAAATGGGCGTTGTGTTGTGGTCTCTCACTCTGCTCCTATGTTTTCAAACACACGGCACGGAGGCCCAACGCCCACATGGGCTACACACACACATACTTTTAGTTAGGCTTATCAAATTATTTTGTCGACCCAAATAATGGTGGGCCCTAAGTATTTTCTCTCTTCTAAATAGATTTTACTCCTTCTGTTCAAAAATGTTTTTTTGAATTTTATTTTTTACGTTCTTCAATGTTGTTCAATGTTGTACTATGACCATTAATCTCTATATTTATATAATGTTTGAAAACTACGTTTCAATAGGAGAGTATTGATTTTAAATTTATATTATAATATAATATATATTTTTCCACATATCACAGTCAGAATTTACAAATTTTGATCTAGAAAAGTCAAATGGGAAGAATATTTTTGAACGGAGGGGTATCAAGTCTAAATTTTACAATATTATGCAAGATATTGAAGATTATATGCTTACAATTTATTTAGATCGAAATCAAATAATCTTGAGAGTTGTACGCTAATTACTCTCTCCGTGCTTCTATTTTTGAGACATGGGTAGCACTGGAATTAAGAAAAGCAAAATTAAATGGTTAATATTGACGGGCCGGTTAATGTGACATTGACCCGAGACATCTATGGTGTTCCGTTCGAAAAACTAATGGTTCTTACCTCCCAACCCTTGCCCCCAAGCCCCCTTTCTCCTTCGACAATTGACTCTAGTAACTACTGTAACCAATCAACAAAGGAGAGGGGAGCTGGGGTGCAAGGGAGGATTAGAGAGATATAAACCATCAATTTTTTAAAAAGAATACCGTAAGTGCCCCAAGTCATATTATTACATTAGGTACCAATGTCACATGCTGGGGTGTAATATTAACAGAAAATTATTCTGAGGTACACTCGATTTTCTTGTAAGAACTCCCCCAGGTACACATTATATAAAATATATTTTGGGGCACCCTCAATTTTATAGTAAGAACTCTCAGGTCCCACATTATCTAAAATATACTTCGAGGGTCCTTAAAATTTGTGGTAACGTACTTCGAGGGTACATTTCGTCCATTTGACCGTCAAGATTGAAAGTTCGATTAGGATCCGATTAGGATCGAAAGTTCTGTTACTTTGCAAAATCATTCTCTTAATATAATAATGATTATAAATTGAAGGATTTTATTAAAGTTTAATAATGGCCAAATGGACGGAATATACCCTCGGAATACATTTCCACAAATTTTAAGCACCCTTAGAGTATATTTCCAATATGGATCTGAGAGTTATTACCAGAAAATCAAGATTTTCCCGAAGTATAATTTAGATAATGTGAGCCTTACGAGTTCGTACAAGAAAATCGAGGGTACCCAGAGTAATTTTCTAGTAATACTAATAGGGTAACTAATGTCATAGAACCATCAAATTTTCGAGTGTACTATCAATTTGATTCCCATGACATTGATAAGTTCAGCTTCTCTTTAAAGTTTTTTCCCCCATTAACCTCTTGATGCACATTTCATCTCACACAAATTTTGTTAGGCAGATCACAAAGATAAACTCAATGGTCACCAGACCAGCATAGTAAAATGATAGAGGCACAAAAAACATGGATTAATTCTGATCAAACAAGATCTAATTACAATTAAGTGAAGCCTATGCAGGTAATAAACCAATATAAGCTTTTCTTACCAGGGGTGTTTTGGGAGAAATGAGTGTCATACCATTGTTAAGAATGTAGAAGTCAAATTTCATGACAATCATCATTTCTATCATAGTTCAAACTTAGTTTCACAATTCAAACATCCATGAAGGTAAATGCCATTCCATGGGGTATGTGGCAATAAAATAATACATCACAATTCACAAAAAATAGAAAAATACTGAAAGAGCGGAACCAAAGTCTATTATAATGCCAAACAGACAGAATAAAACTTGCTGTACAGGCTTTTTTTTCTGTACATTGGATTATCGAAAATTCTCGGCTTTTGAACCCGCAAGTATTAGGTCGTTCTCGGTTTCTGTTGTCGACTTCCATTTTTACCATTCTTGGCGAACAAAAAGGTTTTGAAATGACCAAAACAGGCAAGAATGGAAGTCGGCGACCAATGATGAAGAGAAGAATGACCTAATATTTGGGGCATCAAAAGTGCAAATTTTCTTAGATTATCTAATGACAAAAAAAAACATTGGGGAGGGCATCATTCATTCAAGATTTTCCAGAAACTCAATGCCCTAATCAAATACTTTCGCACCGTATTGTCTTCTATTCGTCGTCCAATTCTACTAGTTGGGCCCGCCTCTCGGCGGCCTTTTTCCTGATGAAAAATCCCCACCGCATTGCGGCTTTAATCTTCAGCCAACCGACAACGGCTTTTCCGGGGCGGGGGCGGTCCTCATCGAAACAGAAGCCGGGCGAGGGCAGGGACATGAAAGGCGTGAAGCCACTGCCGCCGAATCCGTCTTCCGGAATGTTGACCGACGTGTGGGCCCCACCGCCCATGCTGAAGATCCGGAGCAAGTGCTGCATGTCTTCGTTCTCGAGCATCTCATGGCTTCTCATACGAATCTCCTCCTCGGACATATACTCATCAATAGGATTGAGATTATTGGTTTGGTGAACAGGTAGCGGGAAGCATGAAGATGATTGGGGAGGGCCAAGGGCAAGACCAACATTGCTGGTATAGTGTATGTTTTGGATGTGGTGTGAGTTGGTGATCATGTGGTGGTGATCGTGTGGGACGAACGGAGGGTTTTCATACTGTTGCACACGAGAAGTAGAGCTTATAATATGAGAGGACTGGTTGGGGTACCTAGCAGCTGCTATACTTTCATTATTATAACTTGAACCTGCACACCAAAAGAAAATATTAGCTTAAAGATTGTAGTGAAATCAGTGTTCTAAAAACACACAAACTGCAGGTTGGCGAGGACTACATGGGGATATTTAGAATAGAGATTCAAAAGCTGAGAAGATGAAGGGTCTGTTTGGTAATTGGTAAGGGTGATTTAGCTGAAGAGGCTGGCTCTGCTGAACATTGTCAAAAGAAAAGACATTTAGTAAATTGATTTTAGCCAAATAAGTAAACCATAGGGTACATAATAAGCAGAACAAATGCTACCAAATGGGGCTTATGCAGTGAGCAGTCATTTGTCAAATTTGCACCCTGATGAATGGCCATATTTTTTCCCTTTTCCGTGGAAACACGTAGCTTTTTAATATGTAAGTTCTATTTTTTATTATTATACCCTTTTTTGAATAAAATGATTTAACAAAACACGGGGTTTTGCATCGTAATTATAACATTTTAATCTAATATGAGACGGAGGGAGTAACTAGTATTAAGCCCAAATATGGATTCTTTATTGCTCCATCCAGGTTCTCTACATCAATGACATTACTAATATGGGGGAAGAAACACAGCATTGACCAGCTCAAAATATACTTGTTCAACACTTAAAGGTTAAACATCTTCTTGGTAAGGCGAAGGCCTTTTTCGTACATTGAGTAGCTGGGATACGTAAAACTGAGGGTATTGTTCACTGTTAGGAGATAATCCAATATCTTGGAGAAGCATGATATGGTTGTATGGTCCAGTGTGAGAAGTCAGAGTATTGTACAAAATAGCAGAGTTAACATCTCCACGAAACCCCATTTTGGGCAAAATGTATAGCTAAAGTGTTGCATACCTCCAATGAGCACACCGGGATCCAAAGCAGAATGCTCATTTTGGCTTAGACGATGAGGCTGTGGTTGTTGCAGAGGATTGACCAAAGACTTTGAGTAGTCCATCGGGCCCATAGGAATCTCGTGTCTTTCTTTTATATTTTTGAAACCCAAAAGTGTTTTTCCATCATACTCTACAACTTGGTGCCAATTTTCATATGCTTTCTTCACCAAGGAATCAACATAAACCTGCAATTAACAAAAAAAATCAAATACATTTCCCAGGTTGATTTCATACGAGGTTTTACTTCCATAGAAGAAAAATATTACTTGAGAAGACAAACTGTTAATGTAAAAGCATTGGAGCTTAATATATTGTAATAAACAAGATGCTAACCCTTTGTTTGGCTGATGAAAGAATATATGAGAAATAAAAAAGTGAGACAAAGGGTGAATTTTATGTATACTTTGTTCATGCGCAAAGAAAGAAAAAATAGAGTCTCGGCCTTCACTATTTTCTTTTCATCTCTAATTCCTGCCTCTACAACAACAACAACAACCAAGCCTTATCCCACTAGGTCGGTCAGCAACATCAACCAAACAATGTCATTGTGTCCTATCATGTATCATATCTACAGCAAGATTGTTCACACGTAGATCACCCTTGACCACTTCATGCCAGGTTTTCTTAGGTCTACCCCTTACTCTAGCCATTAAAGAAATGAGTTCTCTATCTTTTCTTTTTCTCTCTAATTATATTGAAGCAAGCAAATCATAAATCAATTTGAAATTGGCAGTATTGCATATTAAAACACATCATTGATATTAAAAGAAATCAGAAAAAGATCTACTTTATCTAGCAATACAAAAAGTAATTATGGCAAACCTTCTGGCTATCTGAAAGTGAATCTGCTGAATAATATTGGTCACTGGCAATAAGGCCACTAAGCTCATAGATATTGTTGAAAACAACCCCCACACTTTTTGAGTCATCGGGATAATATACATAAAGCTTCCCACTCAAAGCACAAGTTTTTGCATGGTCTATCAGTGCATCCCACATTTTGTTTGACATGCCACTCCCAAGAATCTGCATGCATCATTCAAATAAGAACACAAGTAAAATTTCTTAAAAGCTAGACAGAAGCCACACTATCTTTCTCCGTAGAAAGCCACCTTCATCATTACCATTCTATCTTTATAGTGTGAAAGCCACACTATAGAAAATGAATGGTGATGATGATGCAAACTAAGTCATTGGACTCCATAAGGGAGCCATGCATACCTCATTGAAATTATTTGAGAATACAATAAATGGTAAATTCAAGCATGGATAGTATCACAAGACACTTACATGTCGCAGTTTTTGAGGGTCTCTAACCATAAGCCGAAGGAAGTCTTCCACTGTAAATATCCTTGCACTATTTAGCTTCTTGTGGAAGGCACCATCCTTTCCAATCTTCTCCAGTCTCCACACATCATCATTAAGTGCAGGTGGATAATGTTTCTTGTACACTGCCAAGGGAGGAAAGGTGAGACTAAACAGATATTGCAAAACACAGAGTGCATATATGTACTAATGAGCTTACATTCTCCTCTGTGGTCCTTAACAGTGAAAGCCTCAGTTTTTGCTTCACGGATGCGTATGCCTTCTCCATAACCAGGCGCAACTTTCAAGCCAAGCCTGAACTTCCTGCTACGTATCCAACTCGAATTATCTGTAAATATCAGTTCCCCAAGAGTTCCTACACCTTCTTTCAGTGTGACTTGCAAATCACCATTCAAGAGTGGTCTCTTTCCTTCTCGCTCTTTAACAACGTGGCTTTCAAATTCTTCCTGCGTCCAATCATCATCGCTTTCATTATTAAAATCGCCTTCTAGTACAACAACATCCAGCTTCAGACACGACTCAGGTCCAGTTGTTACAACATGGCCAGTAATAGAATCAATTAAGACAACATGGATAGCAGCACCCTGTTCTCCTTCAACTTTGCCCCCAGTGAAGAGGGGTAATGAAAGTCTGGATCGGAAATGAAGTTGCATGTTTCGTCCATCAGGTCCTTCAATTTGCTTAGGTGATGACCTGAAACCATGTGTGTTAGGACCAGCATCGCGCAATGGAGGAAGGTTGTAAAAGTTATTATTTTTATCATTATTTATGTGTAAAAACACAAACACTACATGTGATGATATTCCACAAACACAAAGGAGTGGGTGCATTATGCAATACAAATGTACACATCTCTACAAAACACTTTTAATAGTCCATGTCCCAAAATAAATTGTGTTTTGGTTAACGATGTTTGACTGAAGTTATTTTCAATTTATTTGAAAATGGATGTAGAAGAAAAATTGTGCTTTTAAAACTACCGAGTACATAGAAAGCTCTAAAAAACAATAGGTATCTTAACTATTTTGTTTTATCGGATGATTGATGAAAAAATGCAAGGAGAGAAGATAAAGTTTGACCATGACAAAAACGAATGAGAACTTTACTTTGGGATGAAAAGAGTATTACATAATGTACCACATCTTCCAGAATCCATAAACGGAAATATGGCAAGGTAAAAAAAATCATATGTATGCATATATACAAGTAAACATTATTTTCTTTATTGGGAAGTGGGGAACAGTCCCCACATAAGACAATCATGCAATACTAAATAAGTTTTCCTAGGTTGGTCCACTTCAGTACCCACAATTCATTCTATTAAAGACAATATGATATGAACGTATGAATGTATCCTTTATGTCCCCAACTCTGAAATTCATTAAATGCTACTCCCTCCGTCCCGTGAAACATGGGACATTTGCTTTTTAGGAGGGATTTAAGGTAGTATATTTTGGTATTGAATTTCCAAAAATATCCTTTGATGTGATGGGTAAAAGTATGATTTGATGGATAGATTATTAGTAAAAAGTTATGATGTGATAGTTAGGGTATGAAAAAGTAAGGGGTAAAAGTGACTTTTTAATAGAAATGAGAAGTGTTTTGTGGGACGGATAAAAAAAGAAAGGGGAAAGGTTTCACGGGACGGAGGGAGTATTATATTTGGCAAGCTTTGAGCTACTAGGGTACCATTTTTGTCTAATTTTGAACACATTAGTTCCCCAACTGTGGGAAATTGGATTGCAATGGCCAATGGTCCCTTTAAAGAGGCTTTAAATTTGGTCCTTTTTATATAATTCCACACCACGTTTTATTTTATAATTGGGAACTAAAAGTGGTATTACAACATACTAAAGCCTGACACTTGAATCAATTTGATATCTCAAGTTTTAACCTTGCAGCAATTCTAGCAGGGCCTAACTTTGCCAAGGCTCGTTCCACTTCTTCACTAACCTGTAGCACATAATAAGAAAAGTTTAGTGAGCTAATGGTCAAAAAGGTATATTATGGTTAAATTTATAATTAAAACTCACACGCATGAAGGACAAGAATCAGAAAAAACTGAAACCCCACAGAAATCAAACATTTAGTATGTGTATCAAAGATAGCATCCTCCTCTACAAGGTTAATAGCTACTTTGATTGATTCCACAACTTTTATTATAATTTCAAGTGTCCAAATATTCTGAAATCAATATTGAAACAATGTAGAACAATTCATATTTTTCTGATCTGAAGGCAGTTAAAAAATGAAGAGATCCCAAAAACTATTCCTTTGGAAAAAATCTACAGAAAAAAACATAATTATAATTTCAGTCCATAACCTAATCCTTAGTTCATAGCTTTCTTTCACGCGCGCGCACACACACACACACTAGAACTATTATATGCACAAAATGTAATTAAGAAATGTGCATCTATGACACACATATGACATAACAATAGCCAAAATGCAGATATCTTATTCTGCAGTGGGATTTATTTCAGATTAGTAGGCAAATAAAAAATACAAAATCATCAATGAACAATGGAAAATCAAAAATGAAAGAAATGGAGGATTATTTGATTACATACATCTCAGATGCATGATATAAAATGAGAAGCACAAATCATATGGAAAAGTAAATGCCTAAATTATATACTCTGTAACAATTTCATCTTACAACTTTGCGAAGAATTGGTTCCAGGGAAGAGCACAGCTTTTGGAGACTATCTACCTTGAGAGCTTCCACAATTACACTGCATAAAAACAGTAAAATCTTAAGAAACTGCAACCCCTCATTTTTTATACTACACCTTAGGCTGGCATTACCGCACCTTCGCACAGAGATTCAAACAGCACAGAAATAGACAAAAATAAACTCCCAAAATATCTAGTGTTTTATAATAAAAATGCTTTGTCAGAGCATTAATATAAAAACTTGTGAAGTATCATAAAAACAGAAAACAGAAACCAATCCTGCTCTCCTAATCAACAGAACTACAACTTTCCTATGAAAGATGCTCAACTTAGTACACACTGACATGTTATTAACGAAGTTGCCAAGTTGGGATGAACTTGATACATACTGACACACATGTTTTGCCATAATATACACTGGTTTCAATTCCACTTCTCAGCCAAAGAGTTAAAGTAATCATTTTATGAAAAATTCTAGAAAAGGAACTTTCTAGAAAATAACAGAAATCAAGGGCCAAAGAAAATTCAAACGAACACAGTTAAACAATTAAACAAAAAAAAGGATTTTCACATTTCACCTAGCTAAAGCAGGTCGCTTGCGCTCAGGCTGCTTCTCCTCGTCGCCTTCCAGACTCCTCTTTCCTCTCATTGAGTTAGTCCTTTCCATGTACCGAGTCTGCATTCTAACCCAGCAGATGAACCCTAATTCATCAACTGGACAGCAACAAAAAAACACAGCAAAGAGCAAGTCAACTCTCCAGATCCAAAAATTCAGAGAACCCTAATCCGCAGACAGAGATCCACTGCGGTAACTAACTCATAATTGCGGGGCATACAGCATGTGCGCGAAACAGTACCTGATTGCGCTGAAAGACTTCGGCCTGCGGGGTTTAGCGGAGGGCTTTATTGGGGCGGCCCGGTGGAGGTGTCGGAGCGCGTGAGGGTGGCGCGTGGGCCTCGACGACTTACTGTATTAAAAGAGCTCTCATAAGCTAACAGTGTGAGGAGATGAGATGATGGGAGTTGAATCAATACGGAGTATTGTGTTTCAGATCTTTTTGGATTTTCGCTTTCATTGTTGATTTGCTGTTTTTTCCCTTTTCTTTTTCTTATTCTTTTTCTCTTTCTTTTTTTGTCGTCCCAAAATTATTGTTTAAATTTTTTGTATATTTGACAATAAATTATGAAAAAAGTATTTTATATATTACTTATGATACAAATTTAATATAATTAAGTTCTTTTAAAATGTTTGAATTATCAAAGTTTTATTACATAAATATTTATTTTGATAGAACTAAATTTAAAACCCAAAATAGTGTGTATATGTTTTGCAACTAAAATAAGACCTAAATTAAAAAAAGGAGTTGATATGCATTGCCTCAAGAGGGAAAAACACAAATATGAGAATCACAATTTGTTACACTACTCTATTCCTGCCTCTTTTTTTTTAGAATATTTATGTTGTCGTTGCCTTTTTTATTTTTTGCATCTTCCGTTTTAAAGAGTTAAACTCAAACGTTATCCTTTGTGTATCATTCATTTTTTGTTATAAACATGAAAAAATTGATGAATAGTGTACGCAGTATTTATTTTCTAGTTTAATCATTTGGCAATATATGTTTGGCAAATCAAATTGTTTCTTCATATTTTATTATATTTTACAATATACATTATCATGTTTGGCATTAAGCAGTGTCATATTTGTCCATATGCATTAATGCGTTTGGCGTTGTAGCTCCGGAACACATTGTATGGTGACACTGTGACGGAAAATATATATCACGACGTTTTTAATAGAATAAATATGGATGAAATTTATTTAAAAAAAAGTAATCTTATTTAGGATAAAAATATGAAAGTCTAATTTTATTTCTTTTCCTAATTTTTCCTCTTATCTTAATATTAATATTAATATTTCTCTCTTACATGATTTGTAGTAGTTAAATTTAAACTACTAATTTGTAGCCTTAGAGACCACAAAAACAAAAGTCATATTAGACAAAATCGTGGGGCTGAGGAAGATCTTTTTCTTCTTTATTTTTTACTTCTTTATTTCCATATTCCCCCCTTTTATTATTTATCTATCAAAAAAGTTACTGGTAAAAAAAAGGACCAAAGAAGAAAATTCCGTACTTCATTCGCCCAACAACCAACATACATACATGGATGAACACTTTGTTATCCGAAGAAAAAAGCAATACAACAAATAAAATTTACTTTTGTGACATTCTAATACTTTTCCCATTTTAAAATATTGGTTTCACTTACATTTTAGCAAAAAATTACCCTGGAGTATCCTCGATTTTCTGGTAAGAACTTGCAGGTCCCACATTTTCTAAAATATAATTCTGAGTGCCTTCGATTTTCTTGTAAGAACTCACAGGTCTTACATTATTTGAAATATATCAAATCCTTAAAATTTGTGGTAATGTATTTCAATGGTATATTCATTCCACTTGACCGTTATTAAATTTTAATAAAATCCTTCAATTTATAATCATTATTGTATTAGGAGAATGATTTGTCAAAGTAATTGAACTTTCAATCATAACCGAACTTTCAATCCTAACGATCAAATTGACGGAATGTACCCTCAGAGTTTATTACCATAATTTTTAAAGACTTCCGGAGTATATTTCACATAATGTGGGACTTGTGAGTTTTTACCGAAAAATCGAGGGTACTCTGAAATATATTTTATATAATGTGAGTACTGAGAGTTCTTATGAGAAACTTGAAGGTACCCCAGAATAATTTTCTGTACATTTTAGGCACGTTAAATGATTTGTAATAATGATTTAGATTACATGCCATTACATTATTTAAAATATTCACTTAACTATATTTGTAAAAAAACAAGTCAATTTATTAAAAAATTAGTATTAAGCCGTCTAGATGGGGCATTAATATAATATTTCAGAACTAGAAACGAGAACCAAATTAAGTTCTGAAAGCGAATGAGTAACGGTGTATTTTTACTAAATTACAGGAGGAATCAGTGCAATAAACTCTCTATTTCTAAATGCATTTACATTCACTTTCACGTGATCTAACATATTTATTTACTTATTTACTTTAATCGCTTGTTATGATAAAATAATCTCGACATCACTTATTTAAAAAAAATCATGCAACATTTAAATTGCATAATTTCATTTCTAAGTAATTATACTCCATTAAAATAAATTGAATATTAAATTTGTTTAAACGATCAAGTTGATGAGACATTAATATGCTTTTCAAAGATACACCTATAAAAATTAATTAGAGCATTAAATGCACCAGGTCCTCATGTGACAACAGTAATTAATAAAGGTCGAAATGAGTCTTTTAATTATTATTACTCCTGGAAATTCTCTAAATAAATACTTCCATATGCAACTTTAACTTTTAAAAACTACTTTAGAAAGTAAAGTACTCCGGCGGTACATATTAATTGCACTAGAAGATTTTTCCGACCTTTTACCTGTCGGAAACACAAGTGGCGCGTTTGGTTTGGGAAAATATATTTTTGAGAAAAGAAATTTTCAAAAGAAATTAATTTTCAAAGAAAATGATTTTCCCCCTATATTTTTTTTATTGTTTAGTAGGTAAAAATAATTAATTTTTGAAAACATTTTTAATTGTTAAAATTTAAAATTTGATATTTAAATAATGAGTATTAGCTCAGACAGATAAGCTCCCTATATTTTTTATTAGCTCAGGCAGATAAGCTCTATCTTGACAAATAATGAGTCAAGAGTTCGAAACCTAGGTATGCACCTTTAAATTTTAACAGGTGTTTCAACTAAACCCGGAAACTAGCCGGTCCTACCTGGGTCGCCCGGTACGGCAATTCTTCTGGTTTTGAACCAGCCAAATTAATAGCATGTTTTAGCAATAAATTAGACCAGACTTGAGACTGGGTCACAGTTCAAGCGGTTGTGGTGGAGGCGAGGAGGGGAGGGGCTACGGTGGAGGCTGTGGTGGGTTCTTGATGGTGGCAGGGCTGGGAAAGGAAGAGGAGGGTATTTTAGACAAATTACACCCATATTCAACACTCACTAAAAATGAGGAAAAGTCAAAGTAAGAAGTTTATTCCCGGACGGAGGGAGTATTTAAGGACAACATTTTCAAAGTAATCTGCACCGTTAAAATTTTATCCAAAACGCTACCGCTAATCTCTAACGCTGTTCCCAAACAGGCCCATGAATTCTGATATCATCAGGTTTCAATATCTTTTTTTATTTGGTAAAACCAAAAGAATATTGAATTTGATATCATTGAAAATCATAAAACCTTCCAATGAAGAATCTCAATATCTCCTATGTTTGGAAGATATTAATATGAATGCTTGATATCTCTCCCAACTATCATTAAGTATCATAAAACATTCTAATGAAGAGTCTCAATATCTTCTAAATCTAGAAGATATTAATATTAAAGCTTGATATCTCTCAACTATCATTTCTCATCGGCTCCCATGGTCACCACCAATCACCCGTTCTTCACCTATCGCTAATTAAATCATGATTTTAAATCTCTCCAAACAATTTAATTTCAAATTTAAGAAACCATATCATTTCTTCCAATTTTTAAAACTCATTTTTCATACCTCTAAAACTAATGGATGGTTTTTCAACATTCCCAGATACGTAAGGTTGTTGCCTTCTTGATATTCATCTACGCAGTACAAATTTGTTGTTTCACTAACCATATTTTAATCGAGGCCCAAAATTGATGGTGTTAAAGTGACACCTATTTTGGGTGTCATATGATGACACGGTCCAATTAAAGATCTATTCGATTCAAAAAATTGATTGCTCCTACCGACTCCAGGTGAACCCTCACTTCAACCTGCCTCAAATGCATCCCCCATTCCTGTAAATTGAACCCCCGAAACATAGTTGGCTTTAGGGTCAAACTCTTTGATTCCAAAGTCAACTATTTGTTGGAGATTCAATTGACGAGGGTGGAGGTGAGTTTGGACTAACCTAAGGTGAGACCACAGGCAGGCCAAAAACCATCAATTACTTGAACAACGTCCAATGACGGGAACAAAATCCAATGACGGTGGACATTTACTTGTACAATGTCCAGTGGACATTGAACTCTGATACTACATTGGAAAAATAAAACATGTGATACTACATTAAAAACTCATTATGTTTTAGTACTATGTAGAATAATTTTTCAATAAAATATAACATGAATAATTTATTTCATCAAATGATCAATGAAAACACACCTTTAACGGCCACATTTGATGACATTTGACTACAAAAGTTTAACTAAATACCTTTAATTTGGAAGAGGAGCATCAAGTCTACCGCAACTGGACTTGGGAAAGAGAGCATATGCAATTGCCACCAAGTGAGAGGTGAGAAATGAAACCTTTTCAAGTGCATAACTTTAGGCTTCTTCAACAGTTTGAACAAAGTGGTTAAACAATCTTGGCCTGGCTCACCTCCTCCAGTCTCCTGAAAACCTTTTCCAATACGGTGCGGCAAACATCGGGCGAGGTGCAGGGCCCACACATGAGGTAAACAACGTTGCCGAGAGGCCTCATGTAAATGCCATCACCTCGGAGCTTGTGAAGAAGGTTTGAAGCACAGAGTGATGCATACCTGCCCAAAGCCATTGGGACGAAAGACGAATCATGTTGAAAGATCACATATAGATATAAAAAACACAATTGAAAATGCAGACCCTCTTTGAGGGAATGAATGAAAAATGAAGGGCCATTGAGTTATTACTGAATACATGACAAATCTTTGATTCTTTTAAAAACAAAATTTGAATACTAAGCAATTTGAGAAGAAATATTTAGCACATTTAATTACTCGAGCATACCCTGCATTGGAACCTTCTACTCGAAGTTCAATCGCGCATAGAGTCCCTAAAGCAACCACCCTATCAACGGCTGGGAGTAGAGAGATATGTCGAACTAGGTTCTCATCCCACATCTACAAAAGTTCCATAGAAAAAATCATTAATGAAGAAAACAGAAATGACATGACCTATCAAGAAGGATGATGGTGAACACTTGAACACAGCTGATAGCCCAGTCATAGTAAAACAAAGACAAAATTAAATGAATAATTAGAAAGGGTGAATGATAGGGAACACATTATGGTTTAAGGAAATCACTTGACACCTTAAAACTACTAAATTAACCATGATTTAATCACTTAGACCAAAATGTTAATTGCTTTAAGATTTTGTCAGCATTTCTAATTTCTAAGATATTCTACTTATCAGTATTAAAAAAAGATATTCTACTTATCAGATGAACCTCACCCCTAGGGTCCCCAAGACTGGCCAATCAGTTATCTTGGAAGAGGATAATTCAACAATAATCTTAGTCTTACAAATATGGAGTGGAATCTGTCCTTGGTAGGCCGGAACGTGCAAGGACTCCATGTTACGCATGATAACTCTTAATTACCGTTATTAGGAGTCAAACACGGGCATTACACCATTTCACACCCCTTCTTAGTTCTTTGCCATCTAAGCTACACACCTTGGTAAGATACAGTTATGGCTTCTAAGGAAGGCAATACTCTAGCACAAAAACTACTTCTGACAATGTTCTACCTAGACCTAGCAAAACAGGCCCGAAAACTGATAACCCGAACCGAATAACCCGAAATAACCTGAAAACTGAAAAACTGAATTAAACCCGAATACTCGAAATGATCCAAACCGAACCGAATGTATTCAGACCTGATTCAGATCCGAATCTGGTTGAACTGGAACCGATTAAACTCAGAACCGATTAGACCCGAAACCGATTTGACCCAAAACTGATCAGAGACAATATTGATCAAATTCATTAGAGAACATATTGATCAAAACCGATTGACCCGATTGCCAGATCTAGTTCTACCTAACAGGTTATGGGCGCATTTCATTTAAGCAATTAACCCTTTGATTAGTGTGAATTTATTCCATTGGCTAACAGCAAAAACAGGTGTTAACTACTCTAACTCTGTAAGCATTAGTTGGAGCACTAGAAGACAGTTAATTTATCAAAATAGATTGCATGATTCAAATTTTAAAATCTTCATTGTACGAAATAGGTTAATGACCATCTTGTTATGATGTGATGAATAGACGAACGATGTCTTCTCACTTTCTCAGTGCTGATCCCATCATAATACGGATGGATAAATAAGATCACAGACATGGAAGCGATCTTTTATCCTTGTAATAACTGAAATGCTTCATATGGGAAAAAATACAAAAGGCAAACCACTGAAATATTCAGAATGCCTGAAAAATCTTCACACAATTTTTTGCATCGATATTAGAGTTTATAGTAAATCATATACTTCTAAGTATTTGGCACATTCACATACCTCCTTTAGCAGTCTCCCTCCATGTGTCAAATTAGAATTTGTTTTGCAGTCTTTAAACCATTTAATTGATTTAACAGCAGCTGTACAGCCCAGAGCATGAGCAGTGTACGAGTGACCATGTAAAAGAGCTTTGAGCTGAAAAAAAGGTGAATGAACACATAAGGGGAAAGCAACAAAATTGGATTATATTCACAAACATCAACTAACCATAAGTCCATAACTATCAATCCAATGTGCAAAGTTGCACACACTTGAACAAATCTTACATCCCAGCATGTGGGGTTTAGTATGGCCAATGCTAGGCCCAAGTGTGTGCATATTTTTCAATAAAAAATCCAACACCTTCAGGTTGAGATCTAAAGGTAAAAAAAATCCACTCTCACCTATTACCTTAATCTCTTCCTCTCATGCCAGATATTCCCGATATTCTCAAACTACAACAACAAGCCCAGTAATATCCTAGCAAGAGGGGTCACGATTTACGCAACTTCACATGTAAAAAACAAGAGATTGTTGGCTGTTATACCCTTGATGGATATCTGCATTTACTGCCCAAAGCTTCAATGAAGGTTTAATGTACCCATTTAGTTGAGCCTATTATTTTTCAAAGTGACTCATTCAGCTTTGTTTATTAATGAACATTTATAAATATAAATACTCCATCTTGCTCAAGTGTTTGTGCATGTTGTTTTCACTTTCCAAGGTGCATGCTTGACGGTTTCTATCTAAAACACTAATAAAATATAGATTAGAGAAAATTTATAAAATAATTTTTAGGAGTATGTTGAAAGACAACTCGATGAAATCATTATCTTATTATCATTCAATATATTTTTGTAATTAAATAATGATCATATTTTACAACTGCCTCCAAAAAGTCAAACCAGACAAACGCATTGGGGCGGTGTGTGTGTAATGTGTTTGAGTGTGTGCGCATTTGTGTGTGTTTGTGTTTTTGTGAGTGTACAAATATAAAAACATACACAGGGGGGGTGTGCCAAATATACAGGAATTACTGCTGTGAATTTCTAATTCTGGATAGAAACTTCATTCCATGTCTCGGTACATACAACTACGTGAAACACCAATTAAACAGCCAAACTATAATTTACAAATATTCAAAATAAATAAACACATGAACATGAGAAAAAGTTTCCCACATTTAACCCATGCAAAATAGTGTTCATTACCTACAATAGCTACCAGTTTGTTCGGTGTAATTACAGTGAAAAGGTATAGGCTGGATTGATCGAGGTCCTGATGATGAGCATGATAGCAGACTTTTCACCAACAATTCTTTTACCCTATGTTTGGTTCGTGAAATTTCAGAGGAAAAGAAAAGAAAGAAGTTTTCTCCCATTTTCCTTACCAAAATGTAAGGAATACTGTTTTCATTCTCTTTAGTTCACATCTTCCATTTTCTTTTCCTTCCACTTTTCGTTGTCTTTTCCTCCCTAAGCTAGGGAGGAAAAGACAAAGAAAAGTGGAAGGAAAAGAAAATGGAAGAACCAAAGAAAATGGACCCTAACCAAACAAGAAAAATTGTTTTCCCTCTCATTTTCTTTTCTTCTCTTTGAAATTCCTTGAAAACATAGTGTAAGTGTGTAAAACCAGATTATCTTCTTTTTAGAAATCCTGGCGTAGCTAAAACCCATTATGGTTATATTCCTATTGAAAGATTTTTATCTCTATGAGAGACTAAAATGCAATATGCACTACTCTTTGGACAATTTATATGCGTACCCCCTACTAACGAGTAACGACTGCGGTTATTTGTCACATGCTAGACAACTTTAAATCCAAGATTTCAACAAAAGCAAGAACTCATCCACGTTTAATCTTCAAGTGAAGAAAATAAAGAGTATGGTGTATGGCTTGCCTTTGAATCGTCAATAAAAGCTTCAAAAACTTCTTCTGAGGCAAGTGTAGCGGCTAAGGGTACAACTCCACCAGTCATTAATTTTGCGAAGCAGGCAATATCTGGTTGGCAGGAAAGCAACTCCGCTGCAGACTAAAAGGACAAGTACACACTTAAAAGAAAGTTGTAAAACCTTACAGTATAGAAATGGCTTGATTCATAACACAGGCACTCAAACCTCTGCTCCAAGGCGCCAAAATCCAGTAAAAACCTCATCAAATATGACAGGAATCTTCCGTCTGTGGCATTCTCTTGTGAGTATCCTTTGAAATAAAGGATCAATCATTTCCATTCCACCAGCACCTTGGATCACTATCAAGCAATTTAAATACAAGTACTTCAAGCAAGGAAACAGAGAGTGAGTTGTTCATAGTTTAGCCCTTTTGATAATAGTAATAATACTAAACACAAACTGTAGTTATTGGTTACTCTTTATTGGTTTATACTAAAAGATGCAGCTGCAGAACGGCATATTGGTGTTATACTTCTATTAGATTAAGCGATGAGACTTTAAGGGTTTTAATACTATAGTTGAATATGTTGGGTGGCTTGGGTTGATTCAATTCACAGTGACCAAACTCTATTCAATCCGAAAAGGGTTCTACTAACACATTTTAAATCCAATATGATTCAGACGGTACTGGATTGGATCAGGTTGAATGGGTTGGAAATATTATCGTGCACTCTTACCTTATGCTTACCTAGCATGCATGAAGAATCCATGACAGAAACAAAATAATGCCGGGATTTTGTAAGGAAATGTAATAGGGGAGAGGCTCGCGTGTCACTACCATGGCATATAGGCTATGGTATTGCAAATGTATACTGACACTTTATTTGTTGATTGAAATGATGTATAATTGCAACTTTAAGTTAAAAAGTATTGTTCAAGGTATCAAAGGAACCAGTGAAAAATTAAATTAAAATTTGTTTCCAAAAACTTAGGAAAATCCGAGAAAAGAGATGCTGCCATTCATTGTCCAGTGACATGATCCGGATCCCGGAAAATACCACCCATACAAGTGAAAATGCTAGACAATACTCTTTAGAAACTATTCAAGCGTTATAACTATAAGTGAAACAGGCATAGTTGACATTCAATTGGGTTATGATTTAAATATTCAGTTGGAGGGTGAGTGCATTTGCCTAGAGTATGAAAACAAATCCAAAAGCCAATAATTCCAATAAACCACAGATGATGAAATGGAATACCCTTCTACTCTTCTAGATATAAAGTTGCCCTTGTAACCAACACCCAAAAAAGACATAATTTTACCTGGCTCAATAATCAATGCTCCAATAGAGATATATCCTCTAGGATCCAGATTCTCCAATAACTCTTGTGATATGTACGATGAATACACATCAGCAATACCTGATACATCCCGTTCTTTTTGAAAGATTTCATCACGTGAGCTGAAAACTGCAAATCAGCCCATTTAATTAACAAGAAAATAGGGGACTAAAAAATTAACAAGAAAATAGAATAATATAAATAAAACTCATAAAATTGGAATGCCCATGCTACACTTACTCAAATCTTCTTCATTTGCTATGTTAGGTTGAATTTTCTTTGGGATGAAAAGTTTCCAAACATCTTGGCACAAGGAAACTTTTGGTGGGTCTAAGAAATGCCCTCTTCCCTTATACCTACGACAATATTTAGATACCATAAATCAAAATATCAAGATATGCTAAAAGGGCATACTAATCAAAAAGAGTATTAGGCAACATGGACATCCAAACTTCAAATTAAATAGGAAAAGTTCATGTCAATACTAAAAAATGCATCATTTTAGTAGATAATGTGAGATTTCAAAAAACCAAAGCCATTGGAGAGTCATAATTGGGATCTTACTTTTGTTTATTTGGAGAAAAACACACATGCCATTCAAGTTTTTCTGGTCTCTGTTCTAGTTTTAAAGATTTGTTATTCGTCAAGATAAGCATGATAGAATTAAGAATGGGGTAGGGATCACTAGATTGGGCCTTAAGACATTCGGGCTAAACCACATTAAAAGATTAAATCAAATGGATTGCTTAGTTCAAGTCAAAGCCTTATAAACCCTGTATTCTTTCTCAAAGTTATTGGGATACTTTAACACTCCCCTCAAGTGAACAACCGGGTCATTATGAATCTAACCGCATGACCACTTGAAAATGAATTCCCGTCCCCCAAACTTTTGAAATACAACGCCAACACCTAAAGGACTACGAGTCGCTAGGTATGGACTTCTAGACGAACAATCACGTTAAAGGGGCCAAAGACCCTTGGGTTTGGATTCCATACAGAAAACTGTGTTAAAGACTCACGGGCTGCTAGGACTGAACTTCTACACGGGCATCGTGACAAACGAGGTGGTCCAAAACTTGCTTTGATACGATGATAGAATTTTGGATGCAGTAGGCATCACTGGATTGGTCCATAAGGCACATGAGTTGAACCACATTAAAAGATTGAATCTATTATCTAGTTCAACTCATAGCAGTATAAACAATTTATTCTCTCTCAAAGTTATCAATGTGGGATACTTCAACAAAGCAAAATAAGATTAGAATCAGAAATTCCAACTTGTTTAAATTCTTGTAGTAGCAAGTGTTACTTTGAAATCTCAGAATATTTATGTAAAATGACATATTTGTAGGAGGCTCGGAGCATTGGCATGAATTTTCTCAACCGGATATAGCACAACTTTTGTTGGACATGGGGTTATGATGGCAAAACAGAATCTCAAATTCCAAATGTTTGCTAATTACATCTGGATATTGCATATTTATATAAAAAAGTAAAGCTCAGACTTGTGAAAAAAACTGCAGGAAAAATTGAGCAAATGTCAAACCATGCACAGATTTTAATTTCATCAGGCTCTTTGTATTGGAAATGCAATGCAAGAAATCACAAACGAGAGGGCCCTAAAGGCATATACATGTATATATGCATATAAACAAACTAAAAAAAATCATTTCAGCACATGTATGCATGTTTATAAAATTTTGTTGCAACAGATAGATTATCTAGGTAAAGCTTAAAGAGGGTAGTACACCCAAAGCATTTGCACTTCAACAGAACTTACAGAAATTTCTAACTCCAAAGAGTAACTAGAAGCCAAAGTACACCCAAAGTATTAAAAACATTTTAAAAACCATCTTGAATGACAGAGTAATGGATTTGTAGTGGAACTTCATTCTTAAAATTACGATGACAACATATATAGAACCAGCAGAAACAAGTATCCTTAACCATAAGACCATTTCATTAGCACACAGCCTTCAAGTTACATATTCATACCATGGTTGTTGGTAGAATCCAGTGTAAGGTGAAGGTGCCTGTGCTTCCATAGCTCCCAATGTATCGCCATGATAAGATCCTCTAAGAGCCAAAACCTTTATGTTGAACAAAATCATGAATATCATTAGGTTTAAAAGCATTTGCACTTCAACAGAACTTACAGAAATTTCTAACTCCAAAGAGTAACTAGAAGCCAAAAGCTTGCTTTGAGACATCAGCGAATTCAATAGAAAACCATGTAAATGGCAAATTTTATGGTGAACCTAAGGTCCACCATGGACCTACATAAAAGAGAAATAAGCAAATCCTAACTACCTTGATGAGCACTTATTTTAATTAAACATTAAAAAATAAAAAAAGATTTTTTATGTGAGAAGGTGCACAAAAATGCTATGCACCCAAGGTGCACCATAAGAGCACGCTAGAAAGAAATAACCTCTCATTATGTAGACCCTCTTTATGTATAAGAGATACGACCAAACCCCACTATAACAATCATCCTTTGTAACAATAATTCACTATAACAACCATATTCTTTTAAAAAGGATTTTGTGTGTACTTTTGAGATGGTTCGGTCATGTGAGACAGCAGAATGCTAACGCTCTTGTGTGGAGATGCAAGACGCTTACGTTGGTAGGGGGAGGGGTAGACCTAAGAAGAGTTGGAAGGAGGTGATTAGGCAGTACTTAAATAGGAACGTTTGGAGAGATAGGATTAGAGTAGTTGGGTGGATGTCTTACGCTAGGGGGTCTTGTTGTTGTGTGCTTTGTAGGACTTTTATGCTTGGTTCTTTTTTATATTTGCTTGCAATACCCTTTTTTCGTAACTTTATTTAAGCTGTTTAGTTTTCATTCGGTGTGCTTGGTTCTTTTTTGCGTTGTAGCTGTGTTTTCTTTGTTTTGTGCATCTATTGTGATCTTTTTATATGCAACTTGAACCGGGGGTCTTATGGAAACAACCTCTCTACTTTTGGGTAGGGGCAAAGTCTGCATACACACCCTCCTAGACCCTACTCATGTGGGATCCAACTGGGTTGTTGTTTTATCTCTCTATAACAGCATCCAAAATTAAGCTAATGTCATCTTTGTAAAAATACCCCTCTATTACAAGCTTACAACATATCTTCATGCAGTACCACACCCAATGCATATGACTTGTTTTCAAAAATTGAAGAATAATCTTAAATACTCTGTATTTGCTCCTTAACGACAAAAATATAAATTGCTTCTTCATTCCTCTGTATTACTCCTTATGACACAAAATGCATTGTGACTTCAAACAATTTATCATTGCGATGAAGTTAAATTTTGATATTTTGTCCATCTTTATTTCTAAAGCCAGGTTGTTGTATTCATATAACATGTTATATGCATATAACAACATGCCGTTAACTCTTTATAGGTGTATAACACTCATCCACTATGACATCCAAAACAAAATAGACAAATTAGGCTTTTATAGAGAGACTTGAGTGTACCAACAAAATATCACGTAAAAAGAATACTTAGAAGTGTAAAAACAATAATTTGTAGGAAAAACTTAAGTATTTATCCACATAAAAGTACTAGGAGTCACACACACTAACCTTTAAATTGATATATTTATCAACATCATTACCATTTGGACTTTCAAAAAGAAACCCATGGTCAAACAAAAATTTGCGTAGTGCCATTTTAAGAGCTATTTCAATTGCCGTTGATCCATTATCTGAAAAGTATACCCTTGAAGCCCATCCTATCAAAGTAAAATCTTTTCAGAACTAAAGTATTTAAAACTTCCAAAAAATACAAAATATATGAAAAGGGGAAACGCCTAATAATTTGCAATATACATGGGAAAATGTTTTAGCTTGTTAGGTTGCCATTCCTTAACTCCGGTTTTATTTCTATAACATGTGGATTGTGGACTTAAGACTTTGCTAGTCACACAAGCAAACCGAAAAAACAATATCATTTTTCACTTATTTAAGCATATGCTAACTATTTTAGCAAGACAACAAGAATATGCATATTTATAAGCACTGCGCCACACACAATAAATTAGTCAAGGTTTTTTCAGTTTTTGTTTTAATATGTTTTCAATATAAATTGAAGTGTTGGCCTTGCATGTGGTGGCTAGGAGGAAACTAAAGCACATAAGCCAAATGAATATATTGAAACAACAACACCAAAGCTTTATCCCAATTAATCTGGGTTGTCTGCATAAACCAAGAGAAGAATGAAGTCAAATGAATATATTGAACACATTGGAAAACAGTAGGAGTATAGCATATTCTGAAGCATAGAAGCATGGGGCAAGGCCCGAGGTGATGTTGTTCGATGAGCAAAGTAAAATGCAATAAAAAACTTTAGGGATGACATAGCTTATAATATTTTGCAATCAAGTTGAGTGTGAATGAATATATAGGTTTGTGATATGCACAGGTAATATGCATGCAACTAAAGTGACTGTTTGATCTAAAATGCGATTTCCACAAGTACTCTAAAATGCAAGTGTTAATCTAATGTCTGTAATAAAATGCATGCAACTAAAGTGACTGTTTGATGGAAGGGTTGTATCATGTATGGGTAGGATGGTGAGTGGATAAATGAGGTGGATTGGCAAATTTGGTAAAAAGCATTACATGCAGCTGAAAACAAGAGGAAAACGAGTTTCTTAAAAAAACAGATTGATCCATGAACTTATAAAATGAATAACAGGCATTGGCTGAACTTTTCTAATATAAGTTTTTGCCTCAAGTGATCCACAGACAAACACACGAAATGATTTTTTAAAAATTGAACAAAGTGAAACCATTTGACAGTACAACCTTTTATGGTGTTTGTAACTTCTTATGGTAGTTCAAGATCTAAAGTCCAACAACTAAGGGACAAGAAGACAAATAAAAATAGAAATGTGTAATCAAATTATGAACTCAACCTTATTACGAAAGTGAGCTGATTTTACAAAAAAAAATGTGCAGCACAAACGCATGCTATAATTGAATTCCCTTGAAAGTAAACAAATTTGGCCAAAACCCAAGGAACAAAATGCAAACCTTTTCCAACACCTTCAAGCAAAAGTTCAGCACACTTCAAAGCTGGCTCATGAACATTCTGAGGAAACATTACATGCCCATACCTAGAGGTAGCATATCCCATGTCTCTTGCAAGCTCAATCTGAAATAACCTAAATACAATCAGCTAAAAAAAGTCGTAGAAATAAAGTTAGAAAAAAAGGGTCAAAATCTAAGGATATAATACTACAAAACTATTTTATTATGCGTACAAAAGCAGTCCCGCGAAAAGAAAAAACAGTTCACTAAACATCAATATTTAGACATCAATTCCAGTTACCCAAATCAAAGTAACTTCTGGTTGGTGTGCTTACCATGCATTGCTTTCTGTTTCTTGATGCTATTATATGATTGTTTGCAAATTCTCCAAATTATTTTAAGGTAGGTGCAAAATGGTTAGAATTTCAAAGATACGCAATTGTGCATGTTATATTTACATTATCAGTCTTGTAATAGGACGCGACACTTGCAATTATCTCAAGTCTCAACTCATCACTATCTCATTCGATTAACCATTCAAGTGGAAAAACCTATATTGGCAATGGTTTTAGAAGCTTGGTTCATTATTATGATGTAATAAGAAGGTAGTGACCACAAGAGCATCCAATGCAAAGCTTTGTCACTACACGTTCATGAGTGAATTTATAGAGTTAACTAGTTTTATACAATTAATTGACACTAAAAATTGAGTAAATTCTGTGCCATCTACCCCATCATAGTCAGAATTAAGATGTGGTGGGTACTATGATGGTGGTGATAATGGTCGGAATCTCCAATGCTGACCTGTAAACTAGCATCAGGTCCCTGTGTCCACCAACTAGCACAAGCATCAAACCGTTGAATTATAGAATCCGTGTTCTTAATCTGCATGAAATCCAAATAAATCCATAAGCATTACATGGCAGGAAAACAACTTTATGAAGAAAAAGCATCATCAACGAGCTCAAAAAGTTTTTGGTAGACAAAATCTTACCATGTACAAGAATGTAAATCATTACTCAGTGTACCTAATTTGCTAGGTGTGTCAATCTGCCCTAAAATAATATTCATAATAATATAATTGTTTCCCAAGCTTTGAATTTCAAAATCATGACATTTTACTTTTTAGCAGAAAAAAGAAGTGATTTGCCTATGTTGACCACCCCTCTTTCCCCAATACATTGTGACATACAGACACATTTTACATCCATGCCATATTTTCACTGGTGCAGCCGTGTAGGAAGTGACGAAGAAAATTAATTTAGCAACTCAGTTAAGCCTCCATATTTGCAGCCATGTGTTGACCTCATTTCGACAATCAATATCTTTGATTAAGGTATTTAGGTTATCAAGAGCTTTGGGAACTTCAAAACAATATACACAATGGGATTGGGAAATTAAGAAAAGTAGTTCTGCAATGTATGCAAATAGATAATCAACCTTTAGCACGGAAAAGCCCTCATCACAGATATACCCACTCATCATAACGGCTTCTCTCAGATATAATGAAGAGACAATGCAGCATTGATATAAATCTTTTTGCAACAAACACTTACAGAGTTATTGACACTGTGCACTGCAAAGTTCTCACCACAGCGTGAATCAATCATCATGACATGGTCTTTAGATATAAGCTTATGCTGGGTAAAAGGCCACCAGAAAATTTCGTGTGCCTTCTTCGTCATGTAATGTAATTGCTCTATTCTTGCACGGGATGATAAGCACATTATTTTCTGTAGGCGATCAAAAACGTCCTGTGATTGATAAAACCATTCCATAAGATCATTAGATATTTCTTGTGGAATTGGTGGAAGCACGAGCACGGGGATCCTGGAAGTAAAAATACAAATCCTATTCAGTCTTTCAATCTAGCTTCTAAAATTTACCCAATTCTGCTCTCCTTTTATGGCTCATAATGTGAAGGGTTGATAACAAATTTTATTAGCATGCACACGCGCGCACATACACACACACACAGAATGTCAAATATACAACAATGAATACATAGATGCATGGAGATGGGAGAGAATACTAAATATACCCAAAAAAGGCTTATTACTTAGCAATGTGATTCAGAAATGTACTCTTATAGCATAAGAGCGGAACTGCTTCTTAATATGTGCAGAATTGAGATTCGTAGACAAAATGTTTACCTCCCCTGCAAGTAGGACAGTAGTGGTGCCTCATTTAGAAGGCTGTGGTCTTCAAGGACAACAGCAACAACATCATAACCACGAAGCTTTAGTGCCTCATAGGCAGAAATGGTTGCAGAAATACCACCTAGTTTTCCATCTCCAACAAGAATTCCGGGTAAACGAAACGGCCTGCAAAAGCATGTATAAGAAAAATGAAAACCACTCCGAGTATAGTAAGACTTGGTTCATTCTGAAAGTGCACATCCCATACCAAAAGTGTTCAAATTAAAGGTAGAGCATTTGAAGCATCAAATAATTACAGACCGGTACAAGTCACATTGGAGAGAACCCGAAGGGCTGGGGCTAGCAACACCACCAGCAGTCTCAATCACACACATCATCTCCGCATTTTCTCCACATTCATGAACAAAAGTCTCTGAATTAGCTCCTAAACAGCTTTTCAGCGTTTCTAAAAACTCAGCGTCCTCAATCCGAGCTCCTTCCTTCTCAGCGACCACATGAGGTGACAAAGCCTCCTTCCACGCATACAATGTCTTGCAAACCAGCTCTGAGATGCCAGATTTTTGGCCACTCCCCAGCAATTTCTTCTCATGCCAACCCAAATTCACAATTCCACCACCACAATTCTTGCCCAAGAGCTCCTGAGATGCCAAAGCTGAGGCTCTGAGGACATGATCAGAAGCTTCAACCGAGGACTCAGGACGGTGCAGCGAAACAAACTCGGAAAATTTTCTGTAAACAAAGCGGGAGTCAGAATCCTGAGGAAACCCAGTCTGGACGGGCTTGAGGTAGATAAATTTCCTCCCTGAAACTCCAGAGAGGAACGAAATGGAGAGGCCGGCAGAAACCAGGGTTTTGCCGAGTGATGTATTGGCGGCCCAGACAGTATAGATGGGGTGTGTCAGAGGATACTCTACGTCGGTTGAGAAGAAACTGGCGTGACGGCGGTGGCGAAAATAGACGATGGGAGAGCAACCCCGGCGGCTACGGTGGAGGTAGGCAGAGATAGCAGATGCCCGAGACATAATGCGGGAGAACTCCCAGGCCCCAGCCCAGTGTAATGCAGCGAAGGGTGTCTGTGAGAGTGGAAACGAGATCCACCGTTAAACCCTAGATTCCGCCGTGAATGGTGATGAGAGCCGCGGAGCAGCGATTTGGGTGCACGTTAAGAGGATGTCAGAAGCCTGGCGGTCGCCATTAATGGAATTTTGTTGGAACTTCAAACGATTTTGTTGCCGCTACAGTTTAAACGTTGAAGTAGAAAGCAACCCCCACCCTTCCATAGTTTAAAAAACAAAAAAATGCTATGGGTACATCGGGGTACTCCATTTGTATTCCCTCCATCTCCACCACACAAAGCAAGAGATAGAAAAAAAATTAAAAATAAAAACATAAATGAAGAGCTAGGATGCATGGTGTACAAATTAGGGTACCCCTAGCATTCCTCTTTAAAAAATTGTGTCCGCCACCAAATCGGTCAAATACTGATTCATTAGTTTATTGGTTGAACTAATAATTTGAGTGGTTGAACTAGTCGTTCAATTATATACTTCCTCCATCCTATATCTTTCTTCCCGTTGCGCAAAATGAAAAAAAATCTCAAGTTTTTTCAATCTATTTTATTTAAATATTGGTATAAAAATAAAAAATAAAACATACATATTTAAAAACTACATCAAAAGTTCAACAAAACAAGTGGTGACAAGAATATTTTATTTAATCATATAGGCCATGAAAAAACACAAATAAATATAAATTCCCGTGAAGTTGGAATAGTGCTCTGGGAAGAAAGTTTTAGGACGGAGGGAGTATAATAGTTGACCAAAATTATAATGAAAAAATTTACATGTTTTAAAACAATGTTAAAAATTTTTATAAAATAAGAGGTGATTTTAATTTCTCAAATAAGTTAACTTAATATTAAAAAAATACTCAAATTAAATATTTGTATGAATACATTTTGTAATAATATTAAATATATCAATGATTTAGAATTTAAATGATAGCTATAATATTATATATTTAAAAGGTTTTAAAAATGAAACAAAATCATTAAGAATCTTTATTTTTTAACTATTAAATGATTAAAAACATTAAACTAAAGTGTAACAAAAAAACATTTAAGCGGAGATGGTCTACAACTAAAGTAGGTGTCTAAGAGATTAGGTGTTCAAACCCCTTCTTAGATAAAAAAAATCAAAACAAATTCACAAAAAAATGGTTTGACCAGTTTGACTGGTTCGACCGATTGCTTCACACCAGTTTGGACCGGTTCAATACATATTACAGTTCATAAAACTATATCAGACCGATCAGACCACTTATTCGCTAGTTTACATTCCAAAGCGGCCATCTCGATTTTTAAAATTATGGCCATATCATTTTCTTCTTCAACTTTTCCTAACTCCACTCTAATCATTTTCTCCTCTTATCTTTAAATGGGCGTTGTAACAAATTTAGTCCTCCAAGCGAAACTCTCTTTTTTAGAATGTCATGTACAAATGCTTCCGCACCTTTTATAAATAGAAGATGCTTACAAATGCTTTCGCACCTTTTATATATAGAAGATGTTATTCATAAAAGCTAAAAAATAAATTGATAAAATAATGATTTGAACTCACCAAAAGTTACAGATGATTTGACGCGTGTCCAATAAATAATGAGAACATGAGAGACCAATACTCTAAACTGAAATAAATATTTCATTTTCTAAAACATTGTACTTTAAATTTCAAAAATAAATATTTCATGTTCTAAAACATTGTACTTCGATTTTTTAAAACTTTTATAGTTTTTTATAATTAGGGATATTTTTGGATAAAGGTCAATGATTGTGATTACAAAAGTAATGAAAATCATCAAAAAAAATTACACATGACATTTAAAAGAGTATACTTCGTATTAAAGTAAGAAGAAAATAAAAACACAAATAAAGTTGTATCTATAATCACATACTTTGTATTATAGGTATTAAAATAAAAAAAAAATACATTTCGAATGGACTAGAATTTTACCGGCCCTTAATCTTTAGACCAGAGACCGTTTGAAAATTTACCGATCTAGCCTAGAATCGGGTTTTGCGGTCTGGTTTTGTCCAATTTTCCGATCCAACCCGGATTTTGTACATCCCTAATTAAAGCATCACCTGCTAAACCAAGAGTATGTTTAGCAAGCAAAAGAGATATGAATACTGATATCTTCAAGTATCAATATCTTATTTTTATATCGAATTCGGTATCATTAAAAATCGTAAAACCTCCCAATGAAGAATCTCGATCTCCTAAATCTGGAAGATATTAATATGAATGCTTGAAATCTCTCTAAACTATCATTAAATATCATAAAACTTCTCAATGAAGAATTTCCATATCTCCTAAATCTGGAAGATATTATTATGAATATTTGATCTCTCTCAAATATCATTTCTCATTGTCTATTAATGTCACCACCAACCACCTCGATCCTCACTTATCACTAATTAATTTATTATGATTTTAAAATCTCTCCAAACAATTTTATTTCAGATTTAAAAAACAATATCATTCTTCATATTTTTAAAACTAATTTTCCATATCTCTAAAACTCACCAAACTCGACTTACTTTTCTATGGTTTTTTCAACATTCCCAGATACGTAAGGTTGTTGCCTTCTTGATTTTCATCCACGCAGTACAAAGTTGTTTCACTAACCATATTTTAATCAAGGCCCAAAATTGACGATGTTAAAGGGAAACCCATTTTGGGTGTCATATGATGGCATGGTCCATTTAAAAGATCTATTTCGTTTGAAAAATTGAGTGTTCTTACCCTTAGTTTTGGTGAATCCTCACTTCAGCCTCCCCCGAATGCACCCGTAAATTGAACCCCAAAAAACAATTGACTTTAGGGTCAAATTTTTTGATTCTAAAGTCAAATATTTTTTGGGGATTCAATTGAGGAGGGTGGAGGTGGGTTGGGGATCAACCTAATTGAGCAGGCTAAAAACCATCAATTTTTCAACGAGATACCATACTCCCCTCAATTGGACAGATGGCTATTACCACACCCAGAATGGGTGGAAGTATAACCCCGCCCAAGAAAAAACAAATTTTACCACAAACTGGAGTAAGAAAGTAGAGTATCATCATCATCTCTCAATGGTCAAAAAAGCCAAAACACTACCATGCCCAAAAACTCAAGATCCAGAGCACACAAGTCATGATTCATTTCACCAAAAAACTACACCAGAAACAAAGCTATAAAATCTTGGGGAGCATTTTTAGCTCCTAGCAGCCTGCTTTTCTTTGGTTTTCTGAATCTTCAGCACCTTCTTCACAATCTTCTGCTCTTCCACCAAAAATGCTCTAATGATCCTAGAGACCAGAAATGCACGCCCACAGTGAGATAAAATCATCATGTCATTATATTATTATTTTAAAAAACAATAAATCTTGGCATGACGAGTTGTTTTTTTAATAAAACCATGTACAATGAAAGAGCTTATTGATGACCAATTACACAGAAGAACTAACCTTTCCCTTACAGCACCACCTGATAGGACTCCCCCGTAAGGACGGTTAACATTCCTCCTGTTCCTGGGTAATCTAGACCTCTTGTACTGAGCAGGCCTCAAGTGAGGAATCTGAGATAAAGATTGATTGATATGAGAAGTGTTCAAATATTCTACAATACAATAGAAAAGTTTTTGTTCACTAACAGAGAATAGATGACACGTTAACCGGCATAATCATTTAAAAGTGTCAAATACTCCCTCCTCAGAAAAAACTTCCCCATTTCTTTTTTTTTTGCTTGTCCTAAAACAAGGTATCACTTTCTTTTTGAAGAAATGATTTTATAATTTACATAACTTCTCAATCCTGCGCATCACGCCTGACCACTCAATTTCACATTCTTTAATATTGTGTAAGGTCAAATGTGAAACCTTGATTCAGGGTAGACAGAGTATGAGGCTACAATGAAACTGTACTTTCCAAGCACATACGCCTCTCAGAAGCCAGAGCATGTACACATTCCTCTTTTTTTGTGTGGAAGAAATGGAGTATCGTGGATATCACATATGGAGTGGGTAATGAACTAGATTGGCATAAAAGTTTGAATAACAAATGGAGGATTGGAAGAAGGGGTGGTAAGGTGTGCTGCACTGCAGTGCACTTCAGATGGCATTTCCAGACCACTTACACATATTCAGCTGTGCAATGACATTTCCCTGGACTGGCAATGTAGAGCATCACTTTTGTGGGAAAGCTAGATTTAGGGTTTATAAAATGAGGAAGGCGTAAACACTACAAGATTATGGGCTATAAGGCTTTTGTGAAAAAACCACCAATCAGCATAGGCTAAGATCCTTTAACAGAGAATAGTGATACTGTTTATAGATCAGCATAAAAATTGCTGTTCTATCATGAACAAATCTGGCATAATATTCAAAGTCAAACAGCTACGAACATTTAAGCTTGAATAAATCTAGATAAATTGGATATTTGGATCACATAAAACAAACAACGAACCACACACACTTGAACAATCCAATACATGGCATACGAACATTAGAAGCTTAACCATCAGAACATCTATATCAGAAATACGATAACTCTAATCAACTTGATAGAGATAGGGAAAATATACGCATACCCCTTGGATCCGCTTTCCAGTAACGGGGCACTTGGGTCCATTAGCCCTCTTGTTTGTGGGTTGATACACAAGCTTCCCACCTATTCATAATATATACCAACATGAACAATTAAAGAATCACACTTTGAAAATCAAATAATCATGATTACAACTTTGCGAATCAATATACATTTCGGAATGCAACTCTCTGAAGTTACAAATTTAACAACTACATAATTGATAATAACAACGAATGAATGGAATGGAGAAAATACCTGGTGTTTTGACAACACGTTGCTTATTAGATTTGGTCGCATAGCTATGGCGTGTGCGATAAACGAGCCGCTGCACCATTTTTAATCCCTTTTGATGGCAGTAGCTGCTAAGGTGAGTTGAAGAGTTTGGGAGTTAATGTGTGTGGGAAAGAGATTATATGAAGTACGTAGGCATGTCAAAGGGTAGTCAGAACCCAGTGTGCCACACCCATTAAAAAATGTGTTCCCAACCCATACCCATTTACCAAAAAGGTCTTGATGTTATATACGGAGTACGAGATTAGACACATTGGGTCTCTGTACCAGGTCTGATATACATGTGATAAAAATGTCTTTTGTATCGTGCATATGTATAATAACTATAATTGATAAAAATGAGTGCAAATATCATAATATCCAGATTGAATAAAAAAACAAGACTACTGCTTTAAAAAAACATGACTAGTTTGGCACTAAGGCAATAGTACTATTTGATCAAGAAACAATTTCAGACTCTACATAATTGTTACATCCTTTGATCATAAAATTAAACAAACATCCAACTTTGTAAAAAGATAGTTGCAGATTATTAATAAAACTTAGAAGACATATACCCCTTATAAGCCTTTTCTACCAAAAATATGCAGCAAAAACACAAAGAAAAATAGAATTACAAACACAGCTTTTGAAATGATCTCAACTTATGAATTTTTCAAAAATTATACCACCATCAACATATATATTGTCTTATGGTTACCCGTAAACTAAAATTTTCACTTGTACTTTCTACTGCTTATTTGGATGATGGAGTCTTAAATAATGTAGAGGTTAAAAGGCCTATACAGAGACATGGCGGAGGTTGCAAACGAAAATTTAAAATCAGATATCATATCGAGGAACTGTCACTGGGGATATCTTCACATTTCAATCCACACAAAAAAAATCAAAAAACAAAACGTCGAAATTCAAATTTTCAGCCAGAACAAAAATGGAAACACGGTTGCATACGAAAATCATAAATCAAAGGACCGAATCGAAGAACGTAACAGTGTCAGCCATAAACCAAAAACTGAATAAATTAAGTCGAAGATGATGACGATGATGCAAGATTCTTACCGAAGCACTTCGTGAAAAATGGCGATGACCTGCGATTCGGCAAACCTGCGACCTGCAACTAGGGCTAATTTGTTAGCAGAGGAGACGGAAGAATAAAAAGGCCGGGTCGTGGACACCCGTGGGCTGATGTGGGCCGTTTAATTGGGCCTTTGTTATTTACTACGGGGTAAAATTCTTGACATAATACGTCTGACTTTAAATGTAATTGATATGAAAATTGAAATGAAATTATAAAATAAAATTTGCATATTCAGAAACTCTACGTAATAAAAGATGGCACAATTATATCATTCTATCACATTAATAGTAATAAAAATTAAAATATATTTATATATATATATATATATATATATATATATATATATATATAATTTGACCAAGTGAATAAAAAATCAGGCAACTTAATTTTAGATGGATTGAATATTTATTAAGAGTAGAGAGTATGAGAGCATTGGAAATACTCTTGAAGCTCGAGACTTCAAACCAGGGCTTGAAAATTTTTCTCTCTGTCACATAACCTTTAACTTACTTCACAGATTCAGTGGAAATGAGCTTGAAGCCCTAGGGCTTCAAACAGAAGGTTCAGACCTTCATTTTTTACATTTTTAAATATACATTTTCTAAATTTAAATTACTCCGTAATAAATTTTAATTAATTTATTATTTAAATTAATCAAAAGGAGACTAGTACACTAAAAAAATTATATTCATTAAAAAAATATTACATTCATAAAAGAATACATTCATAAAAAGTTACATCCATTAAAAAAATATTACATCCATAAAAAATCAACACTTCAAAGAAATTACTAATTATTCGAGCGACTACAAATATCTTCATTCAAATCCGAGTTGTAGTAACATATTGCAAACTGAAATAATTCATTAAATAAAAAATACAGTCAATAAAAAAAGTATGTTAAATTTAAAAAAAAAACAAAAAAAAATTACATTACTAAAAAAATTTAAACAAAAAAATATTACATTAAACAACAAAATATAGAGTAAAAAATTATACTCCGGGGTATTTGTGTATGTTTTTTTAAAGAGAGAATATAAAGATTTGAAACCCGTTAAAGTTTTGATGCACAAGGAATGAAGCCCGCATCAAGTTCCAAGGGGCGGTGTTTGCTGTCCCTTTGGCGTCAAAAGGGGTAATAACGCCCAGGGTGTTATGCCCATTACCATGCTCTTACATAAAAAATCGTGCAAATAGCGGTGAACCGTAAACATATGGGGAGTAACATTTATCCGAAAATAGAGGAAGCAAGTTTTTTATTTCAAAAATCACCAAGGTTCTTATGACAATAGGTTCCAATGTCATGAGATGACCCAGGAACGCTCCGGTGCCCCTGTTTGATCAACATTTACATTAAAAGTGTTGGTTATCATGTCAACAAAAATGGGGGGGGTGCTGGATAGGGTGGGGTTTTATAGAGTGACTAGAGGAGTTAAGAACTACTTCAGAGTGGAATAGAATATTGTAGCGCATTAAATAAACTCAAAGTCATAATATGACATTGAGTTGCAACGTCAAAAGAACCTGACCCTAATCTTCTTTTTTCTGGCCTAGGGTACGTGTGTCAACCATGTTAGGGGTATACCAAAGTGTATACTCCAAATTGTATGCGAGTATTAAAGCTATGCACCAACATTTTGATGTTCACACTTACATAGAAATTGTGCAAGTATGAACCAGCGGAAAATGAAGGTGTGCACCCGTGGTGTACAATTTGAAGTATACTTTTTGGTGTACAAGTATCTTAGTTCATAACAAAACAACAAAATTCATGAAATAGATCACTTGAAAGGCAACAAACAAGTGCAGTACACCATATTAAGGAGTATAAAACAATGTATCTCCCTTGGACAATAAACCAGTACTGCAGTCCTAAAGACATCTCATGGCTAGTAGACTAGAATGTCGAGCCATTGTACCCACAAAATGAGCGCTGCACAAACGTATTGAAATAGCAATGAGAATTAACAGTCTTTGAAAAAAATTGCCCTTTTTTTTAAATTTATTGTGTTGGAAGTAGGATCAATCTATTGACATGAAAGTACTTGTTAAAGAGTATCTCATGTTGAAACTTGAAGAGAAAATAAATCGATATATAATAAGCTTTTGAGTTGAACAAACTAATCGATTAGATCTAAACTTCAAGTGTATATGTCAGTCTCCTCAAACAAAACATACCCAAAGGTTACCTGAACATCGTAGAACTTGATGTAGAAACGAGAGGCATCAATGGAGAGTTTCGTCTGCAGAATCTCAGCAACAGTGGAGCTGAGCTTCCCATTGACGCTCGGCCCGAGGCCGCCTATGGACATCATCTCGCCATAAGCAGCCGGAGCTTCTCTGCCGGAAAATGCGATGGGCACACCTGCGTTCAGCAAGACCATCACATACTGCAAAAAAAGAGCCAATTATTCTCAGAGGAAATTCGTCGAACACTTGGAGTGCAATTTTAAAACTAGTGAAAAGCTGAGGGAAAAATAGTGAGAAATGGAGCTTCTTACAGACTCGGGTTTTCCGATGATTCTCGCGACGGCTTTGGTGGCGTCTTTGAGAATGTCGGAAGCCACCACTGCGTCGACTGGGACGTTGGTGAAGAGGCTCAGGCTCGGCATTTTTGCCCCGGCGGGAAGTAAGCTTTTGAGTTTGGACTTCAGAGAAATTTCTTAAAATTTATTCTTCCCTTTCATAAAATTTTTGTGTTTTTTAGTGGAGAAATATATTAGTTACTTTGATTTTATGATTGCAAAAGTTTGTAATTTAAAACCTTTGTATCAAATGTTATACTAGGGGTAGACACGGTACCGGTACGGTACCGTGACCGGCAACGGTACCGCCGGTACCCGCCACCGTTACCGCCGGTACCCGCCACCGTTACCGCCGTCGCCGCCGTGTCACTAGTTCCGGGAACCGGTATCGGTACCGCCCATTTCGGTACCGGTTCCGGTACCTATTTTTTGGTACCGGTACCGCCGGTATCGGTCCGGTTCCGGTACCAGATACATTTTTTTTTTGCTTTTGTTCAATGTTCATTCCCAAGCCAACGGCTCCCACATGCAAACAGCCAAAAAAATTAGTGGGGGCACACCTCAAACGGCTATTTAGCCGTTGAGGTGGGGGAGGGGGGAAAGAAACTATAAATTCTCACATTTTTTTCCTAAAAAATCACTCAATTTCTCAATTCATCTATCATTCTCTCATTCTCTCAATTTATCAATCTCTCAATCTTATTATCTTTTTTTAATTTTTATACATTTAAGATTCATATAATAATATAAAAATTTTATATATTAAAATTTTGAAATTTTCAAAATTTTAATATATAAAATTTCGAAATTTTTTCAAAATTTTCGAAATTTAAAATATTATTAATTTTTAAATATATTCTTTATTCTTTAAATAATTTAAATATATTCTTTATTTTTTGAAATTTTCGAAATTTGAATATATAAAATTTCAAATTTTTTTAAATTATCGAAATTTAATATATTATTTTTCTATATCAAACAATATATATATTAAAATGTCGAGAGAGTCCGGTAGAAGATCCGTGGATATGGGCGCCGTGAATCGAAGTTTGAGGAGAGGCAAAGCTAAAGCCACCTCCGACGGTTCGACCTCACGAGGTTCTCGAGGAAGACACTCCGTCTCTTCGTTTCCTACTATCCCAGATCATTTAATCAGGGACGCTATGATGGATGAAGAATTCAACCAGTTTTATTCTGGTAGAGGAGACGCGAATCTCCCCACTCTTGATAGTCTATTCGAGGATGTTGATGAAGCAGGACTGGATAATCTTGACGGGGACGATGAGCCTACACCGCAAAGCAACGACGTCGACGTGGAGGCAGGTGAACCCGAGACTTCTCGAGGTCCGGACAAATGTAAAAAAAATATAAATCAGATTTATTTGTTTATCATTTTGACAAAGACACAAAAGATGGCATAGTTTATGGAACTTGTAAACATTGCGGGACCGTCATAAAAATGGGAGTTTCTGGCGGTTATAGCGGTCCGGAAAAACACCTAAGGTCGAGGCATCCCGTGGAGTACGCCAAATACAAGGCCAAAAAAAAGGGACGACAAGAAGTGCAAACCCAAATTTCTCAGTTTGCTAACAGAGGTAAGGGCGGCCTTTTTGCTTATAGCGACTGATGGATATAATCCACTAGTACCACCCGGCAAGTTCACAGGCGCCCGGGGGTACCAAATTCTGACCCCACATGACCTCACCAACCCCGGTAAACTGACCGGGTGGATGTCGGGGGTCAGACATGTGAGATCGTGACTACATTCGCATAAGGCTTAAAGTCTGACCAGGCTTGACCTCACCGTCCCCGATAATCTGCCCAAGTGGATGACCTGAAGACTGGATGGCTTGAAGACTGACCGACCGGAAGAACAGGAACGTCGGGACGTGCTTGACGTGTTTGTTTTTATTATAAATACCCCTAAAAGCCTCATTTGTGAGGCATGCTTTAATTAACCTGCACGGCTTGTATTTGTAATAACTCCTATTATCATTAATAACAAATCGGGTTACAGGTGTTTCCACCTACAACCCTTCCGATCACTTACACTTAGCATTTGCGTGGTAATTTACACCATCAAATTGGCGCCAACCGTGGGACCTCTTTACAAAAAGAAGCCATGACGAACAACAATATGGAACCCATCATTTCCCAAACTTCCACCCCAGCGGAGGGCGTTACCCTTATCCCGGGAAGAATCACATCATTACCTTCTCTCTTCTCCCCCATGATCACCACCTTCACTACTCAAATAGCCTCGGGTCAGGCCCTCAAAAACTTTGGACAAATTATGCCCATTTTCCAACAACCCGGGGGATTTACTCTTTTCATCCCTCGGATGTATCCCCATGCTTTGGGCCAAAATACAAATCTTCCCAACACGTTGGGGCATCCCCCGTCGTTTCAACCGGTCAGTACCTCACGGTCGGTCACCTTGACAAATCTAGCCGGGGAGCTGGAAAGGGCAGGCCCTTCTCGTCCTAGAAGGAGCAGATCCCACAAGCTCCACACTCAGGTCATACCCGACGGGGACGTGCGCTCTGTGCACAGCAGGGATGAAGACTCGGATATTCCGAAAGGCCAGAAAAAGCTGCATGGCAAAGCCGTCCAGCTGGAAGGTTCACGACGGTCAATGTTCCAGAGGCTGGGACATGAGGGGCGAAAACATAATCGACCGGCCAAGGAGCGGTTGGGGGTGAAGGTTCCCAAGCCAGGCAAATTCTATAGGCGAGAAGGTGGTAGGCGACCCGGTCAGACCGGGCGCTTTGACCTTCATCTTTGTGATGAGCCCCAACACAGCAGGGTGCCTAGAGCGAAGGGCCAGACGGAAAACCAGCCCAAAGTTGCTATGCGCAGACATGTTAAACCACCTAGCAACCAGGTGGACATGGAGGAAGAACGTTTGGAGAGGCTCTTGAAGAGAGTTCGTCGGGAAGAAAAGAAGAAAGTGGTGTTGAACAACCATTTTATCATCCGCTAAGACCGGATTTGTACCATGCCAATGTTCAATAAAGTTGATCTTTTTTCTCAAAACACTTCTCGCAAGACCGGTAAGGAAAGGGTTACAAACCTATCCTCCCGGTGAATGTTCAATCGAATTGAGCATTTAAAAAAAAACCAACTGGTCAAATGGATGAACCGTATCGACACGGTCAAAAAATAACAGTTGAACTTTTTCTGAAAAGATTATTTACAAAACTACCCGGGCGGAACTCCATACTTTTTCAGAAAAGATGGTAAGACCGGTCGGGGAAGGTTGCAGACCCATCTGCCCGGTCAGTGTTCAATCGAATTGAGCATTACAAAACTGCCCGGGCGGAACACCATACTTTTTCAGAAAAGATGGTATGACCGGTCGAGGAAGGTTGCAAACCCGTCCGCCCGGTCAATGTTCAATCGAATTGAACTCAAAAAAATGTGACACAGGCCCGGCCTGGTACGCTGGTCTCACGCCAGTCTTGCACATATTAAAAAAAACTGCGACCCAGTCGAACTGGTACACTGGTCTCACACCGGTCTTGTGCAGTATAAATAAAAAAATAAAGAAAATATGTGACCTAATCGAACTGGTACACTGGTCTCACACCAGTATTGCACATATTTTCTAACAAGCCTGAGCCCAATCGAATTGGGTACACCGGTTGCACATCGGTTTCAGCAAAAAAAAGAGCCCGGTCGGACTGGGAACATTGGGCCTACCCCGATCTTCGATATCTTTCCCTGAAGACTTTTCACTTGGGCAAAGTCAGGGTGAACCAACCTACCCAAGATAAATAAAAAAAACAAAACTGCCCACCCGATCAAGATTCAGACTCGTGTGAGTGACGGGGTCACGATGGATTCGCTTAACTTGGCTCGGAGGACTTTTTCAAGAAAATGTTCCCCCGTTTGCATGGCTGAGGGCTTGAATGGAAAGAATTGATTGCCTTGCTCACTCAGAGGACTAGAGCTCTTATTCACCCGGGTGAAGGAAGAAATGACTCACATGATCAACTTTGAAGCATAGCCCGGGCATGCTCTGTCAAAACCCACCCGGGTGGCTTATTTCCTACTCGGGTAGAAAGAATGGTGAGATGTGTAAGACCGGGTAGATACAGCTCGATCGTGACCAAAGAGATTATGAGTTCGAACGACCGGGTCAAAATCCTGCAGCCGGTTGCTTAAGATCTTGTACAACCCACGGTGCTTTTAGTACGGACTGGTCCCAAACCCAAAGAACCCAATGTCATCAATCAGTTGCTGAGACACTTGGAAGAACCGGATGCCGACCTCCCGGTCAGAAAGTGCCCAGGCAGCAAACTTCTCCGGTTTCTGCGCAGCCCAAGTAGTGGCGTGAACAGCCTGGTCGGAGCGCTCCCTCTCCAGCTCAGCCTTTAGCTGGGCATTCTCCACCTCCAGCTCTGCCCGGCCTTCATCTGGAGCTTCTCATCTGTCAGAGCATCTGACCAGCCGGGTGGCCCACTCCTGCCCGATCCAGGAAGAGGAAACGACGTGATGACTAGGCGGCGGCGTACCAAATTTCCGTAAAAACTTTTCCGCTAACCATTCCCGAGGATTCAAAAAATTCAAAATTATTCAGACATTTGATTCCCGCCCTTGATGGTGCCCACAAAGCCGAGAATCGGAGGACTCCTTGATGGATATAATCCACTAGTACCACCCGGCAAGTTCACAGGCGCCCGGGGGTACCAAATTCTGACCCCACATGACCTCACCAACCCCGGTATATTGACCGGGTGGATGTCGGGGGTCAGACATGTGAGATCGTGACTACATTCGCATAAGGCTTAAAGTCTGACCAGGCTTGACCTCACCGTCCCCGATAATCTGCCCAGGTGGATGACCTGAAGACTGCCCGGGTGGATGACCTGAAGACTGGATGGCTTGAAGACTGACCGACCGGAAGAACAGAAACGTCGGGACGTGCTTGACGTGCTTGTTTTTATTATAAATACCCCTAAAAGCCTCATTTGTGAGGCATGCTTTAATTAACCTGCGCGGCTTGTATTTGTAATAACTCCTATTATCATTAATAACAAATCGGGTTACAGGTGTTTCCACCTACAACCCTTCCGATCACTTACACTTAGCATTTGCGTGGTAATTTACACCATTAGCGACGAGCAACATAAGCAAAAAATGGTCGAAATGATTTGTGAAAAAAATTTGTCATACATGTTTTCTGAAAAACTTGGTTTTATTGATTATTGTCAACAGGCATTAAACCCTCATGTTAGTGTAAATTACGACATCTTGTAAATTAAATGTATTACTTTATTTTAAAATACATAGTAATTTTTTTGGAACATACCCTCCATAAACTTAACTTGAATTTGTAGTTAGTTTGCTTTTTACTATGATGTCATAGAATCAATTTAAGTGAAAACTCACTATGTTTTGCACTCATTAAAGCATTTATATTCTAACCCTTTATGCGCATAAAAATGGCGATTAGCTACAGTTGGTCTACTAAATACTTACACTACAACCCTTTGGTGTTCTTTTTTCGATAGAATAAAATATATATAATGTGGAATTGGGTTTTATTCGGGATTTATGTAGCTTTGGTATATGAACATATTCTAGAATTGTGTAAGAATTACTCAACGTGACATATGAGGCCATAATCAAATCATAGTAAAAGGTTAAACTAGCTCAATCAATTAAATAATTTAATTCGAAATTTTTATTTAATCTACCATCATTGTTTTAAATATGTTTAACACAATGGCAAGGCAAGTTCATACAACTACCAATATGGATAACAAGAAATGAGAAAAATCCACCACATTGGTTTGAAAGAATGATCATCCAAAAAGTGTGGTCAACAAGCACAATTCTCACTTGGAAACCAAAGAGCACAATAGTGATCATTTTAGGTCATACATGTGCAATAACCCACCCTTCCTATTAGGACACTTACACACAGTACAATTCTTGTTGATAGAAATAATCCCAAGTGGGGAAATTGGGAGTTTTGAGAAGATCAATTGAAGATGAAAACTTGGATGGTTTATTGGATCCTTTTCACATCTCTACTACTTGTTGTTGCAGTTTCTCTTGAGGAAAAATTGCAATTCCAAGAATGCCCTTTTGAGGAGATAGACTTCCAGCCTTGTTTAGACCAAGGCAACCAATTGTCTGCAGAGGCAATTTGGTCATGCTGTGAAAGCCTAAACCAAGCAATCCAAGTGGGAGTTTTCTGCATTTGTAAGCTGATTGGGTCTCCTAAGACCCCTTTGCTTAGCCACTCTTTGGTTCTCACGATGTCAAATTGCTTCATTTCTATTCCTCAATGGAACCAATGCAATGGTATCTAATTTGAGTCATTCTTTTCTCCTTTCTATTTGTTTTTTTATGTGTTCTTTTTATTTTAATATATTATCCGTCTCCAAAAGTGTCTTGATTCAGTTTCACTACATTTTAAAAAAAAGTGTTTAAAGAAAAAAACGGTGGTTACAATTAATTTAATTTAAAGAAATAAATTAAATTGAAAAAATAATTTCAGTCAAATCTCGTAAACCAAATTAGGATGAAAGTTGTAAGACCGAGAGAGATATTTAAAGCTATTTCTAATTTGAAGTGGTTACAAAAAAAATTAAATGAACATAATCTATTAGTTAACTTTGAATAATGGTTTGACTTAAATTTGATCATAAATAGAGCCGGTGCCTGTGCTTGAACCACCACCACGGGACAGCCCATTCTCAACAGCGAAGTCACCACCGGCGGCCACTCCAGTGACGATTATGCCGCCGCCGGAGCAAGGAAATTGGCCGCAGACGCAACCCTCCGGCCCACGAAACCCGATCCCGCCACTAATATTGCCGCCGAACAACACTTCATCTTCTTCCACATCGGTCTTGACGACAAGTAATCAACCGGCGGCCGCCATTATTACCCCGGTGCTGGGGGTTTTAACATCTTCATGCGGCGGTGGAAGCAACCACCACCACCACCGTAATATTAATAATGATGAGATTTGGTTATTACTACAGTCAAGAAGTTGGTTCTTGTTGGGTGCATTGTTACTTCTTGTGTTTCCTCTTATATGAATAAATACTACACTAGTTTGTTTGGTGAATGCTTGCTTCATTTCTTACACATTGGAAGAGGTTTGATTGTTTAAAAGAAACAATGCCATGTGGACTCCATATACATCCAACCCACGAGTACTCTTTTCACATATCTCTTTATTTTATGGCCCAAAATGTTTGTTTGTACTTATAAATTTGTAAAAGTGATCGATTATCTTGACAATAAAATCAAACTCAGAGATACGAAATATTTTTCAGCTCATACTTTTTTGTCTCTAGAAAAAAAATGAAAATCAGAAATTGTTAAACATTACAAAGTGCTTTTATCCAAAGCAAAAGCTGAGATTTATTGTCAAAACCTATCCGAATTGAACCACAATTTTATTATGAGCAAGGAATTCTAAAAATGGATTTGGGACAACTTCATCCACTGATGATCTTTGTCAAAGTGATGAGGTCCTGCGTTGAGCTCCCATTTGGCCCTACAGCTTTATGGACAAGGTCCTTGTACACTTCAGCTTGCCTTTTGAGACCCTTCCCAAGGTCACTCCTTAGGACCAATTCAAGGGCACCCATTGTCCCATTCTTGGTGAAAACCCCTCTCTCAACCTTCACCCCAATTTTCCACGCCTTCTCCACCATCCAAGAGTTGAGAAAATGATCCCCAAAGAATGGCCTACAAATTAAGGGCACCCCGGCCGTGATACTCTCTAGGACCGAATTCCACCCCCCGTGACCCACGAACACGCCAACTGACCCATGTCCCAAAACCCTCACTTGAGGTGCCCAAGGGACTATTTTCCCATACTCTTTTGTCCTTTCCAAAAACCCTTTTGGCAAATTGCAAGTCAAGTCCTCCCTGAGTGACCAAAGAAAAGGGGTCTTGGTCTCCTCCAATGCCTCCGCCACCGCCGCCAGCTCCTCTGGCGGCGGGACTGAAACTGTCCCAAAGGCTAAGTACGCCACGGATTTTTCCGGCTGGCTGTCGAGCCACGGGACGCAGTCCTCGTCGGCCTTCTCGGAGAGCGGCGGGGGCGGGGACGTCATGTTGAAGGGGCCCACATTGAGGAAGTTGGAGAGCTTTGTCTTAAGGAGGCTCACGATGTTGGGGTCCAAGTCGCGGAAGGAATTGATGGCCACCGCGGTGGCCCTCGGCAGAGCACGGCCCATGTTGTGTATCATGACGGCGAACGGAGAGTCTAAGTTTCCGGCGACGATTCCGCTTTGTATGTCACCCAGGCGGAGTTCGGGAAACCCGGGAATGAATGTGACAATTTCATCTTCGCGACCCGCAATCCCTACAAGTGAACTCTATTTCAGAATAAAGTTCTCAATTTCATTTTCACTAAAAATAAATTGAACCGTATTCTCTGGGACGGACGTGGTATACGAGTATAACCATATAACATTAATGACTATTATGCCCTTATTTGAAAACAATATTTTCAACTAGTGTTAGCATTTCAGATAAAAATTAATGATCTAAATGAACTTTAAGAACTCTACAACTAAACAATGTTATTAGATAATATTTTCGAAACACTAACATTGAAACTAAATTTTCTCATATACTCCAATTTGACTTACCATGATTATTACAGAATATTTACGAATTATTTAAACAGAGGATTTTTCTTTTTTTCTTTTTTTTTTTGGAAAAGAGAATGCATTACACATTTTCTTTCTCTCTCGTTTTCACTATAGATCAAAATTGATGTATTTGATGGACAAATATTGATTTTGATTAAAATTTAAAGGACTAAAATTAAATATTTAATGAGTACTCCGGTCTAAAAAAATGAATTTTATATTTGATTTTTATAAAATCACCAATAGATCATATATATTTGGTTTTTTAAATTGTTTGTTGTTGTTTACGGGAGTTTGATATATTACCTCACTTTATGAGTACATGTCAACAAATAGTCTATTTTTGACCTTTTGTCATGTTGGTGTTAACGACTTCATTTTCTCATGTTGGTGTTAACAAATACGGAGTAGTCTATATTACCTTAGTTTATGAGTACATTTGTCATGTTGGTTAGACAGACAACATAACAATAATAACTATGATTATGAATTACGATTTTGATGAAATACCACGTCTATAGATTATGATTGTTGCAAAAAACGACTGCAATTCACAAACGTCGCATTAGAAGCGGCCTCTAAAAAATGTGTATGACAAGACATATGAAATTACATTTTTAGTCTTCAAATTTAACATCAAATGACAGAATATTAAAATATGGCTATTTGTGAAAAAATACCCACAAAAGATGAACCATCGAGACAATATTTGATAATGGATGAATAAAAAATCTCTTGTTAAAAAGGATTAATTATAAAATTATTTTAAATTTGTTGTCCAACTTCAGTTGCACCATAGAAATTCATGGAAGTAGATTCATCATTTGAAATAGTTAGACACCATGGAGGGCATGTTCTCTTCATTTGGTCCAATTTTCTTAAGGTCTAATTTGCTCTAGTCTGATTTGATTTGGTTCTAACAACAATAATAATAAATAATACAGTAAATAATAAGAATAAAGAGTCAAAGAGTCAAACTAGAAACTCACCAAATTTGACACTAAAATTTGGCACCAAGTATTTCACACATATATCATACACTTCTTATCTTTGATGTACAAAGAGTTAGGGGCTGCTTGTTTCAGCCTCTTAATGGTTCAGATGTCTGAATGGTTCAGCATTTAATGGTTCAGATTGTTTGTTTCAACCGCTTAATGGTTCAGATGTCTGAATGGTTAAGAGACTTGCCTCTGAATGGTTAAGTATTATACAAAGTCTGAATGGTTAAGACCTCTTATCTGAATTGATCAAACATTTGCCTCTGAATAATTAAGCAATATACTAGCTCTTAATGGTTCAGACCTCTTACTGGTTCAGCACTTAATGGTTCAGTGGTTCAACACTTACCTATTCAGAAGTTGCTAAATAGCCCCTTAGTTTTTGAGCATCTCTAAAATATTTGGTGTCAAGCCGATAGCTTTTTTTAATATAATACTCACTCAGTAAGTACATTAGAAAGTTAATAAATATCATACTAAATACGATTAAAACATAAAAGAAAGTATCAAATAAGAGTTTCATGTTTTTATTCCAGAAATAGAAATTCGTAGTATGGTAATGTGGTTGTAATGTGGCACTGTACATGTGCACATTATTATACTTTTTGGTAATGTAAATGCATTTTAACTCCTATTTCAGAAATAAAAATGGAAGATCTATTTTAGTATTTTTTAATGTTTTACTCCTACTTTAGTCTTTTTCCCAAAAGTTAAACTACAAAATGGTTCACTTGTCACACCCAAAAATTTACGGAGTACTTTCTTTGTCTCGATATAAATTTGATGATTTAATTTCTCCCAATTTGAAATTTGTTTTTAAAAAAAATGACTTAGAAGCCTTACCTAAAGAATTTGAAGTAGATTTTTAATATAAATGCTCGTAAGTTTTTTCTTTAGGATTTTATAGTTCATTTGTACATCTTCATGACAATGTATTTGTTCAATTTGAATTCTTCAATTCAAACAAGAAAATTTTTAGTTCGGATCTCACTAAAATAAATTAGTATAAAATGATTCAAATTAGTTTTATAAAACTTTCAAAAAAATGATTTTATTATATTAATACGCAATTCAAATTAAATTCATCTAATTTAAATATAAAAATACTCAATTAGCTGGAATTTGTGAATAATAAATGGAATTTAAGCGGGGGAGAAAAAGCAAAGTAGGACTAAAACATTGAAAATATACCAAAATAAGACTTTCATGTTTTTATTCTCGAAATAGGACTTACATTACCAAACATGGTCATATACATTACCAAAAGAGTATAGTAATTTGCACATGTACACTGCCACATTACCACAATGCAAAGTCACATTACCACAATGCAAAATCTTAACATGAAAGTCCTATTTTGATATTTTTCTCTATGTTATCTAGATGGTGGAGACAGATTACCTTCCAATCCAATGGTTTGCCTGATGAAGTCCGTATACACGTGGAGCAGCAGCGAGCCAGCAGCAGAGGTCCACACTGGGACCCATGAAACACCCAACTCCGCCGCCACGTCGCCGGCGAACGACAAGAACGCATCCGCCACCACGCACCCGACCTTCCGGCCGGACTCCCTCTCCGCGGCGGCCACGCCTTCCCTGAAACTCCCCGGCGCCGCCTTCAAGAACATACCGATCTCCACCTCCGGCCCTCTCCCGCCGGACACGTGCCCTTCCGGTACGCCGTCGGTCACGTCGCGCCGCTTGACGTTCCCCGGCGTCCCCGGGGCAGCGAACACTTTCGCATTGGATCTGGGGGTGCTGAAGAAGGTGAACGTCGTGGCCGGCGCCTCCGTGGCGAGGCGGCGCACGAGGCCGAAGAGTAGGCCGGGGTGGGTGGCGAAGGGGAAGGCGAGAACTGCAACGTGGCGCTCGTTTGAGGAAGGCTCCATTTTCGGATCTTGTCAATGGTGGTTAACCTACTCCTCATTTATCCCCTTGTATTGTTCGGTTGTTGCCTATATAGTGGTGCACAATATTCCATGCCTCACTTCGTTCCACCTCACATATATTTCTTTCCAATAAATTCACTCAATCTTTTTTTATTTTAATACAAAATATGAAGAAAAAAACGTACTGTATAATTTTAATATAAATTTAATATTTATAGATTTATATTTGAAATGTAATTTTAAAATATAATATTTCTATACTTAATTTAATAGTAAAAATATTAGTGATCAAAGTGTTACTTATCATTCTAAAACTTTTCTCGCATCTTGGTTTTTGATTGAGATTTGGCAACAGTTGTTTTAAATTTAATTTATTTGATTGTAAGTACATACAATTTAAAATTTATATATTTAAAAAATATATCAAAACTCTACAAAACTAGATTTTACATATGTGACTATATCATGTTATCAAATACGGAGTAATTAATAAAATAATAAAAATAAGTAAAGTTTGACTGTGTAAATAATAACTGAAATGAAATTATGAGCCTCATCTCCGAAGGACCAGTCCGACCCAATCGGACGATCACTGAAAGAAAATAAATTAGACATTAACCGTGTAAATAGTACTTGAGCTGAAAGTTTTAAAACTGATGGGTATCACTCTCCCCTCAAAATAAACTTTTCTTTTTAGTTTTCATGAATGTTACGAAAAGTAAAAATATTTGATTAAAATTTTTTAATAGAGAAGAGAGAATTAATGTGAACTACACAACAATCCAAACAAGTTTATTTTTTAATAATTTAAAAAGTAAAAAAAATATTTCGGATGAAAGAAGCATGCTCCCTTTGGGTCCGTTGATACACGGAAATATGGAATTGAAGGTGTAATGCTTCAAAAATAAGCCTATCAGAATTAATTAATTAATAATTAATTAATTACTAAGAGGATCCAAAAATAAGTGACTTACAAAGTTTGTCAATTAATTGTGAAAATTATTACGTTGTTTAAAGTTTGTCAATTAATTGTGAAAATTAGTACAATCAGATTTTAATTCGAAGAAAAATTGGACCAAAAGTGTATCTCAATCGTGACCAAATTAGTCTCAATCAAGGAACCTGCACAAACGACGCCTCCTCCTTCACAACACTGATCACAAAATCATCAATGACGGACATGCCTTGGCTTCTTCCCCAATCTTAGGCCTATATAAGGCACCCCAACTCTCATTGTTTTCACTAAATCATCTCATTTTTTTCTTTTATTCTGTTGCTCTGAGTGTGGAGAACATAGTGGTGTTGTCCATATAGTGAGAGGTCGTTAGAGTTAATAGTAATCATCGTGAAAGTCACTATCTTCAGATATAAATAAAAAGTTTATGCCTAACAAACATATGGCTTATTTGGAAATAATGTTTGAGATTATCATTAGCGTTTTAGATAAAATTTCAATGGTGCAGATAACTTTGAAAATGCTAACGCTAAACGCTGTCCGCATGTAGTTTTTCAAAACGCCAACCCTAATCGCTGTTGTTATTTACGAACGGGCTCATAAAGTGTCTGTGTTTCCCTCTGTGCATGATTGTAAATTGATAACCAAACGTTTGATTACCGTCTGCATCTGTATTCATTTGTTTGAAAAATATCTGCATCCATTAAAAGCAGTTATTATCTGTATCGATTAAGGATATCCAATTGGTAAACGGATACGGATTTGGTAATCATACATCCAATTCGTTTATAATCTGTTCCGTATTGGCATTCGTTTAAATAACCGTTTATTCGTGTGTTCGATCCGTTATATATAACTTTTCCTAATTTTTATTTTTATGTTTTGTTTCTCTATTGATATCACAGTATATCAGATAATTTTATATGCAAAATATATGTGTAGGCACATAAAAATATGCGTAGACATATAAAAATGCGTATTGTGTAATTATTTTTATCATATGAATTTATTGTAGAATATAATAAATTATAAAAAATAACAACAACAACAACCCAGTTGAATCCCACATCAGTAGGGTCTGGGGAGGGTGTGTGTACGCAGACCTTGCCCCTACTCGGAAGTAGGGAGACATAATAAGTTATAAAAAATAAGAAAATAATTATACCATAACAAATTACAGTTGATTTGATAATATTTTGACTATAATTTAATTGAAAAATATAATTTAATTTAATTTGATCTTAAAAGTTAAAAATTGGAAACAGATGCAAATATATCCGATCTCCGATCGATGCGGGTACGGTTTTGATTTTCTGTATCTGTCAAGATCCGAATTTGATATTCGACAAAAATAAATGAATACAAATTTAGTAATAACACATCTCATTTGATTAATATCCTTTTACATTCTTTACTTTGTGTTTGTCTTTCATACACAATTGTTGTACCACTACATTTTTCGTCCTACTAGTTACACTAATGGCTCAGGATCTCACCTCCCGCCTCATCTCTCCTCTGTCAGTCTATCGAGAACACCTACTCCGGTAATGAAGAACATACATTGGTACCATTCTCACTGAATATGAAACCCCTATAACGTTCAACTCATCTTCTCCGGTTGTATCGACCTAGACTCTGATGTTTCAATGCATACCAAATGATTACTGACTTTCCATTTCAGCGATTTACTTTTTTGATTGCTTTACTATTATGATCAGTTTCGCCAATCAGACTTTCAATCCCGCACTCTCTAACCCTAAACCCCTTTCCGCATCGGGTTTCTCCAGCCGGGTCTTGAGCTTCACCTCCCAATTCGGATCGCAGCCGCTGAAGACTCTCAAGGGAGGTAGAGATTGCGGCTACCGTCTGTTCTGGGCGGATCTGAGCCGTGGGGAAATGGAGCTGGTTAGGAGATTCAGCAGAGGGTGTTTCTTCGACCTGTCTAAGACCAGGTCGGAGGTTGAATTAGTGTCGGTTGAAGGTGGGGAAGATGTTTTCCACTCATCCTCTGCAGATTCCAAGGTCCAGCCTGAACACCTTGTGATCATGGTCAATGGACTTATTGGGAGGTAATTTGTGTATGTTATTTCATCTCACATTGTAACATATCAGACTAACATTATGATAGATCATAGATGCCCTCTGCCTAAAAAACATGAGCAAAAACCAGGCATTATGAGTGCAATGTGATCACTCTTGTAGCCTTGTAGGTTCTCATTAATGTATTTTCAGTATTTGTATAGTAGTTGTCTTTAATGTAGCTGTTCCTCATTGATGATTCACAATTGTCATTAAATTCAGATGGATGCTCTTCAAAGGCTATACATGTATTCTTGTAGTTTCAACTTAAGAAAGATGTAGCTAGTTAGCTAGCATTTGGTAAAAATACGGATTTGAGATCATAGGGGATTACTTTTAGTATACTGTTTGTTTCTTTATTGTTCATAATAAGTTTCTCAAAAGTGAAGGAGTGTTTGGAATGTTAATGACTGAGAAACCTACACATATAGTCAATTAATAATGGTAGAAATTTATTTCTACAGTATGTTATTTCTGGTACTCCCTTAATGTGATCAGGGTGACATGGATGTGATTAGTTTTAGAAGAAAGTGATAGACTGATAGTGATGAAATGACTCCAACAGCAGTACGTAATCGATAATTAGATTTGATATCTTCACATGTTGACAATGTTTTATTTTTGGGTAAAGTGACTTAATCAATATGGCACATTAAACTTCCTTTGCATTTTTTTTAAAATTTCTATGAAGTTTTGGATATGAAATGTAACAATGCATCAACGGTCTAATGGAAACATCCTCTCTAGGGTAAGGTTGCGTACATCTTGTAGTTGAAAGAGTTCAGATTTGTCATCACCATTTGTGTTCAAATGATCATATGTGTTTTTAGGTCATCATCGTCATTGACATCGTCACTCATTATCTATACCATAATCCAAAGTAGTTGATGATGATGTCATTAATATACAAATTAAAAAGCCAATTTATCCTATTAAATCATAATTCAATAAGCACTATAATTCATACAATAATTGATATTGTCAATGTTTATGTCAGACGCTCATTAGAAAGAATGAGATAATAATACAAATCATCCCCATCATAGATTCAAAGGCTATTTCCACATGCATGTAAAAGAACAAATTTTATGCACTCTGTATACAACAACACACCAGTAAAATTTTACACATTTGTTGTGTGTATTTTACCCAGATTTTTTTATTTCTGAATATCCCTTGTTTTTTCTAGTGCTGCGGATTGGAGATATGCTGCCAAACAATTTGTAAGAAGGCTCCCTGAGAGAGTTGTGGTTCATTGTATGTTCATCTTTTCCTTTTTCAGAACCAACTTTTAAATGGCATTATATTTTTTTATCGAGAAATCTGTGTGTGATATTTTGGGGGGAAAGGGAGGGGAGATGTTGTTATCATGGAGAGCGTTGCTCATTTAGCTTAACGGATGGGTGACTTGGAAGAAAGCCAAGAAACATTGCATGTGGGAGATATTCGAGGTTGAGCAATCATGAGTGTATGCCTGTATGCCACAAAATGCAGTTAATAATCTGCATTGAAAGCTTTAGTATAAATAGATATGTTTATTAGGTCTTGGATTAGCTAGCTATATGATTGAATTCTATCTTTTTAGCTTGGTTTGACCCATGTGCCTTGTACCGTGTGAGTGACCATCACAAAGTTTATTGATGACTAAAAGACATTGAGAAGTATAGTACACATTGTTCATTTTCAACCATAGTTCTGGAAGGTGAGAGGCAGGGAGCTATACTTTTTTCAAGGCAAGAGCTGGTTGTCCAATGGTCAAACAAGGTGGTGTAATTAAAAATATTATAATATGACAGTGTAATAAACTTAAGGCAATAAGTATCAAAATCACGTCATAAATGGACCAAAGAACCAAAACAACGATAACTGACATAATGAAAATGTAACTTGAAAAAGAAAGGAAACAAACAAAAATTAAGAAAAGTACTCAAGTACGCAGAGTGAAACACAAACACACAAAGAGAGTAGGGGCATGAATAGAAAAGCTACTCCCAAAGTAATCACTAATCTGAGGCCTCCAGAAGCAGAGGATGGGTGGCGTTGACAGCAGTGGTGGGTTATCAACAAACTCGGTTTGTGAAAGTTCTGATTCCTTGTCTTTAGATGGATAAAAATTTAATTTAACAGTTCAGCTGCCTTTGCTTTCTGTGCGTGAGCCGTGAGGTGTTGAAGCGATCTACCTCTCGCCTGGGGAAGAAGAGGTGCCTAGCCTCTTCTCTCCTGGCATGAAAAACTTCAGGCATTGTACCTTTGCCTCTCTGCCTGGGCAGCTCTGGCTTGCGGCGTGCGCCCTTCATAACTATTTCAACCAAATGGTTAAATTATTTGACTATGTGTGATTGGCATACATGAAATATTATCTTTTAGTCTAGACACTTGTATTTTGCTTATAACTTAATCCTAGACAATTGTGTGAAAATTTTGTTGCCCCAAAATACTTGCTATAGAAATGTTCTGCAAAATCCTTGTAGATGCTAACTAAATTAAATTTTGTTACTTGTTTTGTACTACTAGGCAGTGAATGCAATTATTCACGGTTGACTTTTGATGGTGTTGACCGAATGGGTGATAGATTGGCCGAGGAGGTATTTTGCTAAATAGCTTTGCAGTCCTTGCATTAAAGTTAATTACCTCTACAGGGATTGATCAAATTCACTTTATTAAAAGTGTCCCTTGCTGATTTGGGATTTGTATACATTCTCTGCCTCTTTGTAGTGCAGGTGGTGGATGTTGTTAAACGCTGGCCGGGCATGCACAAAATCTCTTTTGTTTCTCACTCTTTAGGTGGACTTGTTGCACGATATGCCGTTGGGAGGTTATTTGTGTATCCTTCAGCTGCAGAGACAACAAATGTAGATGGACGAGATAAATTTGATGATGGAAGTATTGCTGGGTTAGAGCCCATGAATTTCATAACTGTTGCAACTCCACATTTGGGTTCTAGAGGACACAAACAGGTAGGCTATTATTATAATCTTTTGGACATCTTTTTTTAAGAAGTGTTTGCTCCATGTTTCTAACAAGTTACTTCCTTCTTTCTAGCAATTTCTATTGATTGGAATTGTATTAGTCTTTCTTATTTTAGGGCAAGCACATCTTCTTTTTGGGGAATGATAATCTGGAGCAAATTACCAAAACTTAACTGAAGAATTTGTGTGCGATTTAAAATGAAATAAAGAATGGAAGTAGGAAGAAAGAAAAATGTGAGAAATGTAGTAGATTTTATGTATTTTTGGTATGCAAGGAATAAGAGAAAGAAATGCTGACTATATTCTAAAAGACAAACTGCCCTTCTCATTAAATATATACTTCCTCCGGCCCACCTTTTTTTTGTGTCTGTTTCCTTTAGTGTTTCTCCCAATTAAATATACTTCTTTCCATGCATGTAGCTCACAATGTTTTTCTTATGAAGTACATAATTTTTACCATATAAAAAACTGTGCTCAATCAAACTAAACAGTAAACACATTAAAATGGGACAGATAGAGTAGAAAGAAAGAGACCAATTAAAACAATGATAAAAAGAAGTAATAACAAAAGGGAATTGTAGGCTAGTATGTGCATCCATGCTCTGTTTGGGCCTAGATGTTCACCTCTTTAATAGCCTTAAGTTGTCCAAAATTCGGGTTCAGGTGTATTGCAGTATATGAGTATATGGGTGGGAGGCGAACCTCACTTCTTTAGTACCCCTGTGTGCGGGTTAGGCCCAATTTAACATGGTATCATAGTTTGGTTGGATGGTGGTTTTTGGGACGGCAACCTGCTTGATGTTTGGGACAACCCATTTGATGGTCAATTTGGACCCATTTCTTCACCCCTCAAATGTCTAACCGGCTTGAGCTGAAGGAGGTGTGTGCTATCTGCTACGTATCCTACATTGGTGGTCTATCTAGTGAATATGGTTTAGTATAGAAGTGTGAGGTTAGCCTCACTTATTAAGGATTTTTTGGGGGGTAAGTAAGAGTCAAATTGCTCAGGGGTGGGGATGGGGGTGGGTGTGGGACAGAATAAGTGTTTAACCATATATGTTCATTCCCAAACTTAGTTGGTTGTCATTATTGTTGATTAATGTGTGATTTGTCATTGTTCTCCTATTGTCTTCTTTGTTGGTTGATCATCAGCTGCCTCTTCTCTGTGGTCTCCCTTTGTTGGAAAAACTTGGTTGTCATTATTGTTGATTAATGTGTGATTTGTCATCGTTCTCCTATTGTCTTCTTTGTTGTTTGATCATCAGCTGCCTCTTCTCTGTGGTCTCCCTTTGTTGGAAAAACTTGGTTGTCATTATTGTTGATTAATGTGTGATTTCTCATTGTTCTCCTATTGTCTTCTTTGTTGGTTGATCATCAGCTGCCTCTTCTCTGTGGTCTCCCGTTGTTGGAAAAAGGAGTATCTCAAACCGCACACTTGCTTGTTGGGAGATCCGGAAAGCATCTCTTCCTCACAGATAATGATGATGGCAAACCTCCTCTTCTTCTTAGGATGGCTAATGACTCCAACGATCTCAAATTCATGTGAGTTGTTGTAAATCTTGTATTTCTATTTTCCCATTCCGTGATTGGAGATAAGTTGATACAATTATCTATCTTTACTAATTTTATTAACTATTACTATATTTTTGTAGATCAGCATTACGTGCTTTTAAACGGCGTGTGGTATATGCAAATGCAAACTATGACCGTATCCTCCAGCTTGATTGTATTTATTCATGGAGCTTAATTCAATATTGTTGATAAAGGGGACTGATTTCGTAACACTTTATTTAATAAAGTAAAAACACAAATGCATGTGCATACACACACATACTCTCTCTATCAAAGCGCGTGCTTGCGTGCATGCACACACACATACTTTACAACCCTCATTGAATATCCACCAGACCTACCACCATGCATGTGTCTCAACCACTTATCATAAGGTACTTCTTGAACTCTTGAAGTCAAAACATCATTTAGTTCATTGCAAACCATGCAAGTCAAACTTGGAAACTCTCTTAGGGACTGTGTGTGTGCATGCATTGTTCATGTATGGATGTATGTGTGTGTAGCTGGAATGGTCGATTTGGCTGAATATGCCAAATTATCCAAGAAAGAATAAACTGTACATGTTATGCAGAATAAAGAAAATACTAGCAAAATTTGGAGTTGAGAAGTGTCATTTTCTTTATTTTAAGTCCTATAAGACAAAAAGCAACTCTTGCACTTTTTTAAAAAAAAAAATTATGAACCAAATATGCCAGCACAATGAAATTAGTTATGCTTTGTGAAAGAAACTGGCTATAAGGCTGAAATGCTGAAAAGCGTTGTGCACCAAATGAATCCTTTCCATCAAAGCGGTGACTTTGATACCATGTAGAAACAAAAGGAGACTGATTTCGTTATTCTATAAAAGAAACACATGTTGGTGTATACAAGTTCTATATTGTACAACTGGAGGATACCAACATAGAATGCACCAATTTCTTAAATTGTTCACACACAATGTCCAACAAAGCACATTCCCATGTGAATGAGATTACACTCAACCCCTTTTTAATCACATAATATTCACTTCTTCTTCCCATTATTAATCCTTTTCCTTTACTAGTCCTTAAGATGTTGTTGGATGGAGGACGTCATCAATCCGCCGCCAAAGTGAACTTCCAAAGGTTTGTATGCTTCCCTCCCTCTTCCTCTAGGCCTAGTTTGGCAGCGGGGTAACAGGAGCAAGTGAAGGGGATGAGTGATATTTATTTTATACATTTTTTCTTACATTTAGATGAATGGAAAAATAACATAGGAAATTCATGATTTAACTATACATTTACTCTCTCCATCCCTCAAAATAGTCCTATTTCAGGACTTATTTTGACCCCATAAAGAAGTCATATTCAACAGTTAAATATAATAAATTTAGTCAAACCAATAAATAGATTTAAAACCATATCTATAATTGATAATTATCAATAATTGTACCTTGGAAACAGCCTCCCTACTTTCGAGTAGGGGCAAGGTCTGCGTACACACACCCTCCCCAGACCCTACTATAGTGGGATTCAACTGGGTTGTTGTTGTTGTATTAATAATTGTACCTTATTAAAATTAAAATCTTCTACTTTGATGAAAAAGGATTCCTTTGATTGGGGGGGGGGGGGGTTGGAGTGAGTAGTTAGTTTACTTATTTATATTCTAACTCCCCCCTCCCTCCCACGCAAACACCCACGCACCCAAAGTTGGCTAATCAAGCACGGCCTTAAAGTTTAGTTGTATTTTGCATTCCCTATATATCTTCTCATTTGAAAATTCTTGTCAATTTGCTTCGTCTTCAGGCCAATTTTCTTGTCAAGGATACAAGATACCCACATATTGTACATGTAGCCCAAGAAACTGCAGAAGTGAAGCATAAAGCATCTTCTGCCACTGTGACAGAAACCATTGATTTGGAAGGTTTGTTATTATACCTTGCACTTCACATTTTATTCGTTTACAAATAGTCCATTTGTGCTGTTTAGATTGGGTAATACTATTGTTAGAAAAAAAATATCAATTACAAGACTCTGGTAGAACAGTTTAATAGACTACTTACAGTTGATACATAATACTCTTTCCGTCCCAAAATAAACTTCTCACTTTCTTTTTTGGTTGTCCCAAAATAATGTTCTCAGTCCTTTTAAAGAATGGAATGAGTGGTCCATATAATTTGTCTCTCCTCTACATCAATCTCAACATTTTATTAATCTCCGTGAAAGTCAAAGCAAGAACTTTAATTTGGGACGGAGGGAGTATCGATAATAAGATTCATTAAAAAAAGATTCTATAAATGTCAAACATTTCAGTACAACAATAAACCCGGCAAAATCTGCCAAGTGGGGTCTGGGTGGTGGGGGTGGTTGGTGTACCTAGGAACAGTAGAGAAGACTCTTCCCTAAGTATTTCAATATTACTTACTAATTTATCTTGATTAATGTACATTGACTACATTCTAAATTTTACCGTACCAAAGGCAGGTTGGTGATCCATGCCTCCATGGTTAATTAATGATTAGCTTTCAATAATTACACCGTATAAAACCTAAAGGTGCTCATTTACTCAACAACCCTCCCCGAAAGACTTTAGTTTGACAGCTCAAGTTTTATCTTTTCTTTCTCGTGGGACAGTTTTTTAGCTTGCATCGTGTAGGTTCATTCTCTGCTATTACTTCCCATTCTTTTCTAAACTTCTTTTTCCTTTGATCTTGTTTTTTTTATGCACTTGTGTTTTTTATTTTGGTATCAATAAAGCGGTGAATGCATACACTAAGAGAGTTATTTTGTGCAGAGGAAATGATTAGAGGGCTGACTCAAGTCCCATGGGAGCGCATTGATGTTAGCTTTCAAAAAAGCAGCCAAAGATATGTAGCTCATAATACCATACAGGTGATTTTTCTTCTCTTCCCCTATTTCACTTCCACAGATCCATACTCCAGTAAACTTCATGAAAGCTGGGTAGTTACTGTTATTACCACAAGGTTTCACATATCTGTGACCACTTCCACCCCCATCTGGAGCTGTCTATTCGCTACTATCTCAGTAATTGTGCCTATGAGATAGTGTCGATTGTACGTATCCCTCATAAAAAATGAAAGATGTCTACCATATATCTATCTTTTCTTGTGCAATTGTTTTACACTTTTACCCTTTTTACCATGGAATATATGATTGTTCATAACCCACACGCTCCGAGACCCCACTTGGGGAGAACCTTGTTGTGTTGTTAATGTTGAAAGCATTCTATCATGCTTTACATTTCTGCAACCATGTATTCAGCATGAAGTCATATTGATGCTCATATTATGTATGGCAGGTGAAAACATATTGGTTGAATTCTGATGGTGCCGATGTGATTCGTCATCTCATTGACAATTTCCTCCTCTAGTTTTTGCATCCCAGAGGACGCTCGCTTCACTGCCTGCGGGCCCCACGAATGGCTTAGAACCCGCATTTTTTTAATCATACTACGGTAGATATTTATATGAACCGAAGATGACGGGTGGGTGGGTGGGGTGAGCATTTCTCAAAATGATACATTATGTAACATGAGGCGCGGGCATATGATGTTTTCAATTGTGCAAAACAATGGTTAGATTTATAGATTACGCCTTTGTTTCGAGTTAGCTTAACAACTATAAATGATTTATGGTCTCTAAATGATAATACACACTTAGTATTCAAAAATTGCGGGAACTTTTGTGTATTTGGGCGTTTTCATTGACTATTTGATGAAATTAATAAAATATCCTTATCAGTTGTCACATCTTATATTGTAAAACTTTTTATGTACTTTTTAAATATATAAATTTTAATTTTATTTATATATCAATCTTTAAATAAAATGAATTGAAAAAATTTAAAATTTTACTACTTCGTTTTGTATAAAGAGTAAATGATTTAGGGAGGGATAGAGTACTACGCAGTTTATTATCATTCCAAAAAGTGAAAATGTGACTTCCTTCATTTTTAAAATTTCTGGTGCATCAAATGAGTTTACTTCCTAAATTAATTTATATTTATTCTATAACTTCAATTGTTTGAGTCAACTTTGTAGTCAATTATTGATTTTTAACAGTATATGAATTCTCTAAATACATACTCCCTCCGTTCTTAATCTGATTATAAGTTAGGAGTTACGAGACAAAATCTATCGTCTTTTGAAATCATTTTATCTACAAATTGGTATATCAATAAGAAAATAAAAATTACATATTAAAAAGGGAAAAAGCCTAAATTAAGAGTAAAACATGGAAAACATATCAAAACAAGAGTTTCATGTTTTTATTCTCGAAATAGGACTTAAAATGCATTTACTTTACATACCAATCATGATCATGCACATTATCAAAAAGTATTACCTCCGTCCCAATTTATAACGCCTGTTTCGGTTTACGATGTTTGACTGAAATTATTTTCAAACCATTTTATATGACAAATGGTATAGAATTAAAAAATAAAAATTACATATTAAAAAACTATATCAAAAGATCTACAAAACTAGTAGTGACAATAATATTTTATTTTATCAAATTGCTAATGAAAATAGAGAAAGAAAGTGAATAAAGTTTGACCCTGTGAATAGTAAACATGCATTATAATTTGGGACGAAGGGAGTATAATAATATGCACATGTATTGATAGTGCAAACTTCTATTTAGAAAATAAAAACATGGTATTCATATTTTAATACTTTCTCTATGTTTTACTACTATATAGAGTAATTTCTTTATTCAAAAGTTCTATAAAAGAAAAGGTAGCAAGAATATTTTATTTTATCAAATATAAAATGAAAATATACAAATAAACAGAAGTTATGGAGAAGAAAAAAAATTATAGTCTATTCTGAGACGGAGGGAGTATCCGTGCATTAAAATTTATCGAGGTCCATGTATAATTAAAGTAGTGTTTACATTTTACAAATTCTATTTTTCTTAGTGCTCCCATATCCATCAGAATATGCTTTACAAAATTTAATAAGCTTAAAAATATAACATAATCTTTTAAAATTTGAATTGAATATAATCTCATTAAAAAAGAAAGAGAAAAGAGATGAAATTGAAGAACTCCCTCCCTCCCAATTTATATTGTCTGTTTCGGTTTACGATGTTTGACTGAAATTATTTTTAAATCATTTTATCTGAAAATGGGTGCAGGATAAAGAAAAATTACTCCCTCCATAGTAGGATGATCTTTTCAGTTCAGTTAACGAAGTTTGACTGAAATTATTTTCAATTCAATTTATTTGATTATAGGTATAAAATCAAGAATTAAAAATTATAGATTTAAAAATACATCAAAAGTTCTACAAAACAAGAGGTGACATGACTATATTATTTTATTAAATAATAAATGAAAATAGGTAAAGAAAATAATCAAAATTTGACAATGTGAATAATGACTAAGAAGATCATTTAAGGACGGAGATGATATTCAAAGTCACTTGAACCGAGATGATATCCAAATAAGGTAATTTACCTAAATAGGACTAAAATATAATGACTATTTCAATATAGGACCATATGTTTTTATTTCCTAATATAAGACCATTGGTCATTATCTATTAGTCATTATTCAACTAAATGTCCAGCATCACTTGAACATTATTTTTTTCACTAGTCATTATTAAGTCCTATTTAAGAAATAAAAAATTTAAGTTCTACATTGGGAAAAGATTTATCTTTAGTCTCACAAATTTTCCATCCAAATAATCATAAGTTATCAAAGTACAATAATACGGAGTACTAAAGAGAGAAGTTTATGGTTGCACGGATGGAATGAAGTATAAGATATTGACAGATATTAATATAAGATTACGGATACGGAATTAAGGGCCACGTCAAATTTGAGTCATCTCTATCTATTTCAAAAATTTCAAACGATTTCCATTACTTTAGCGTTCTCTTCTTCTTCCGGTAACATCCGATACACGACTATATATATCCAACAATCCCTCTTCTGCTCCCTACTTTTGCTTCTTCAATCCTTATCCGTAAGAATCTCACTCTCTCTGTAGATTATTTTGTCTCTGGGATTCTTTAATTCTTTAATTTAAAGCTTATCTTTCTGAAAATGGAGATTTACATGCACTAAAATGGTTTTGAAATGGGAGCTGATGATTATTTCTGGGAATGTAAGTGATGGGTTGATGGGGATTTGTAAAGTAAATATCTCTGTGTGATTAGCTGGGCTAGTGATTAAAGATTGATTTTTGGTTAGTGATTAATGGTTGATTTTAATTTAATGTATTTGCTTTACTGTGTGATTGTTTCCTTGTTTCTCATTGTAATGTAATTTGCTTGTTGCAGTGATCAAAGTAGGCATGATGAGTGTGACTGGGAAGTTGATGTTTCTCTACGTTTTCTTGAATGTGGTTTCATATATAGTGGTAAAGCCACCTATCTTTTATTCTCTTTCATTATAATTTCAGAAAAAATTAAAAAAAAACTCAATTTTTATTTTCGTTCAAATTTTGATCATTCCTGTGCTGTTTTTTATACGGAGAACCATTTGGGAACAACATTTCTAATTAGCATTAGCTATCTTTGGATGGCCTTTTTCAAAATTGCCAAAGCTACATGATAGGTGCAAATATGCAATGCCAAACAGATACTTCATCTGGTTCATCTTTTATGCAGATAGCTGCGGGACCACCAACGTGTCCTGCTGCAGATATTTCTAGTGACTGTGAGAGTGATTCCGGGGAATGGGATGGTGAATTCTTCCCCGGAATTTCCAAGATCAAATATGAGGTGAAAATATACTTTTTAACCTTTTTGGGTTATTATTAAAGAAGAAAATTAGTTGGTTACAAAGTTTGAACTATGGGTATTTTTGAAGGTGACACCTTTGGCCTGAGAAAGCTTTGTTTAAGCTACTCTTGAGATTCCCAGAGAGTTAAGGGGTTGTTTGGTACGTGGAGAAGGCTAGGGGAAGAAACCAAGGAAAACACAAATTTTCTTAAATTCATTATTCCAATTTCAGATATTCTTTGGAACCCTTTATTTTTATAAAAAAATTCTATTATATCAAGACTGAAGTTTCTACATACATTGGAATGTTACATGTTTTGATAAAATATGAATCTCATCCATGCTTTCAAGGTAAAACCTAACATCAAAATCATTTTACTTACTGGTAATTCATTTTCTTTTCCCTACCATTTTTCATGTTCCAAACGGATTTCGTATAATTGAAGGAAAGCAACAATGCTTGAGTTTCTATACATGTTTTGTTTTGACCACTATGGGATCTCGCAATTGCAATGACTGACAGATTTTATGTGGTTTCTTATTCATTTCTATAGGGTCCTTCTAGTAAGAACCCATTGTCATTTAAATGGTACAATGCCAACGAGGAAATTCTGGGTAAAAAGATGAAGGTTTGTTACTGTGATTAAGTATTTTAGTGTTGTTTTAGTTCATCACTAGTATTATAGCACTAATACATTTTACTCTGTTTTTTTAAAATAAATATAGGATTGGTTTAGATTTAGTGTTGCGTTTTGGCACACATTCCGTGGCACAGGTGGCGATCCGTTTGGCTCAGCTACAAAATTTTGGCCATGGGAAGATGGCACTAATTCACTTGCCATGGCAAAGAGGAGGAGTAAGATATGACATTCAACTCAGCCATTTTTAGTTAAAGGAAAATAACTTTCCGTAAACAATACTTCCCAGCATAATATTTTCCATGGAAAATATGTTGTTTCATGCATAGCATTTTGTTCAGCCGATAACTATAGAACACCATCTAAGCTTCCTTCTAAACAAAGGGATCCTAAAGTTAGCCAGTTGAGCATAGATGTATAGTAATGACTAAGTCTCTCTACTTCAATTGTTGATTACAGTGAGAGCTAACTTTGAGTTCCTAGAAAAGATTGGAGTCGATAGGTGGTGCTTTCATGACCGAGACATTGCTCCAGATGGTAAAACACTAGAGGTAGATGCTGTAAATATTTTTTTTACTCGTCATATACGAAGTATATGCTATATATAGTCATGTGTTAAGGTGTTTGTTCTAATTGTTTAATGTTTTTAAATTCATGCAATCATTTTTTTTGTGACTGACACTACAAATCACAACTCACAGGAGTCAAATGCAAACTTGGACGAAGTGGTAGCACTTGCTAAGGAGCTTCAGGTTGTTTAAGAGATTCATGAAAACAAAAACATAACTTTTCCGATTATGACACTGTTTATAAAACATTTAGAGTTTTTCAAATAATCATATGTTTGTAATACGGAGTAACAAATAATAGAAAATGTATAAACAAAACAGATGATCCAAACATATGTTTTATACGGGCTATTTCAGGTTTTTGAAAACAAAACATAACAAAATGAAAACCAAAGTTTTGAAAACTGAAAACATCAAATAACTATTTTTGCTTTCCAAAAGCCTCCCAAGTTGACAATTTTCAATAAACCAATCTTTATGGTCATATACTTTTTCACCCATTTCTTTTTTATTAACAAAAAATATTTGAAACTTTGAAGGGTTCAAAGATCCGACCTTTATGGGGTACCGCTCAGCTGTTTGTACATCCGCGATATATGCATGGTGCTGCAACTAGGTTCGTTGTGCCTTGTTTGAACTGGTAAATTGATTGTCATGCACTTTAAAAATCTGGTGCTCAATTTCCTTTATTAAATCTGCAGCTCTGAATTGGGAGTATATGCATATGCTGCAGCCCAAGTCAAAAAAGCTATGGAGGTTTTCACTACAACTCTTTTTCTTATGTATAAATCTCAATATATAAACTCCGTAATAATAATAATTTAAGATTGAAGATTTGTTATAAGATGGATTATTACATTGCATGTTATGATATAACAGCTGTAAATGTTCTGCTTTGTGTGAATTTCAGGTTACACATTATCTTGGTGGTGAGAATTATGTTTTCTGGGGTGGCCGTGAGGGTTATCAGAGTCTTTTGAACACAGACATGGAAAGAGAACTAAATCATTTGGTAAGACTAGCAATTAAATTTGTAGAATGGATTATCAAATGATGAAGAAGATGATGATGATGAATGACTTGTAAAATGGATTTATTAATTGTTTTTTTCCATCTCTGTTGACAGGCCAGGTTCATGGAAGCTGCTGTTGCTTACAAGAAAAAGATTGGGTTTAATGGTATTTTGCCTCTCATTAATTTTCTGCTAATTAATATCATAGCTACATTTTACGACTGATTGGTTATAATTTTACATATTATCTTCTTTTGCTCAGGGACATTGTTCATAGAGCCTAAGCCTCAGGAGCCTACAAAGCATCAGTATGTTTTGATCTTATAAGATTCTCAAGTCAATTAGTTATTCCTTGTTCACTTTATATCACAATATATGTTGATGCTCATAGGTATGATTGGGATGCTGCTACTGCTGCTAATTTTCTTAGGAAATATGGCCTTATAGGTGTGATACATCATCATCATCATCATTTTTCTTCTTGAACCCGCACACCAGAGCTGTTTTTGTTCTTCATAGCATCAAAATGATACATGAATTATGGATTCCTTATTTTAAATGCCATTAGCGTATAATCCCTCAACAACAACAAAACCTTATCGTCCTAAAATATTTTTATGATATTTGCTGTTGATGTTTGACAGATGAGTTCAAATTGAATATCGAATGCAACCATGCCACTTTGTCTGGACATAGGTTTGTGCCATTGTGTCTTTATATACTTTGCTAAACTAGATCACAATCATATACTTACCACAACCATTGGGGTAAAGATGTTCACAGAAACCTAACCTTTGTAAGAAAAAAAATTAGATAGGTGGTTTTGTCATGACCCTTGCATTTACTACCCAAAACTTCATTAAAAATAAGAAGCAAATGAAGCTTAAACTTCAATTCTTAAATTACATGAAACTAAAACATTGCCAATAACTCCCAAGAAAAGCTTAGCATCTACACAAGATTAATTGGGGTTAAGCATTGGGAGATTTTTACTGCATTAACCTTCTTCGCATATTTCATTTGCATTCAGTTGTCATCATGAAGTGGAGACAGCAAGAATCAATGGATTGCTTGGAAACATTGACGCAAATAGTGGCGATCCGCAAACTGGTAACTTATTTGATCAGAAGTTATATGGATCTACTCTTTTGCTTGCCACTTTGTTCTCTGCCCTATAGAACTTTTCACAACTAAAGTTATTATGGCATTCTAGGTTGGGATACCGATCAATTTCCCATGGATGTAGCTGAAGCAACTCTAGTTATGCTCTCTGTTATCAAGAATGTATGTTTTGATGGCAGAATTTTGTTGTTCATTCCAAATATCTCAGTTTATTTTTCTGGACATTCCAAATATATTACATGGACACAAAGTATTGATGGCAGAATTTTGTTGTTCATTCCACATATCTCAGTTTATTTTTCTGGACATTCCAAATATATTTCCATTCCGTTTAATGGCAGAATTTTGTTGTTCATATTCTTTCTCTTTTCTCTATATAAACTTTTAATCATACTATTTTACTTTTCTTAAATCCCGTGTGGTATTGAAATGGGAATTTGTTTTTGGGGCAGAGGGTTATTATGTACCAGGTGCTAAGGAAACAGAAGGAGTTAAAGTTTCTTTTTAATATTATTATTAATATAATTCTTTTTAAGTACCATTACCATTATTATTATTATCATTACCATTAATATCATTATCATTACCATTACCATTATTATTATTAATATCATTATCATTATCATTATCATTACCATTACCATTATTATTATTATTATTATTATTATTATTTTTCTTTTTAAGTACAAATTTACAGAATTGTGAGAGGAAATGTACATGATTAATGTTGTTTTTCTTTTCTTCCTTCTCTAATCATCATTGTTTGTGTTTCCGCTCAAACCTCAGGGGGGAATAGCACCAGGAGGATTCAACTTTGATGCCAAATTGTTAGTTCACTATCCCATTTTAGTCTTTACTATGTCACAGTCATGTTAAAGACGCTGTCTTTACAACAGTGTTCTTGTTTGATCTTCTGTCAGGCGGAGGGAGAGTACGGACGTTGAGGATATATTCATTGCACATATTGCAGGTATGGATACCCTGGCCCGTGGCCTCCGAAGTGCTGCAAAGTTGATTGAGGTAAAATGACTAATTTGCCCTCTCGTAGTCTTTAATCTTTTTTTTTTTTCATTTTTTTGTACCAAACTTATTGGCCTATGTGATGAAAATAGGATGGTTCTCTGAATGAACTTGTTCGAAAGAGGTACCAAAGTTTTGATTCTGAGGTTGGCCAAGTCATTGAGGTATTGTTCTTTAACACTTATCTTCTAATTGGAATTTTCCACTTTTGGTTAAAAGGACTATCTGGTCATTTTCACGTTTGGTCTCAAACCTTAATTTCCACCTCCCCAATCTTGCTTCTTGTAACAACTGAGCAATAGTGCAATACAATCTCAACTTTGGGCCTGTTTGGGAATAGCGTTTTAAAAAGACTATCTACGGTCAGCATTTAGCGTTAACGTTTCCAAAGTAATCTACACCGTTAAAATTTTATCTAAAACGCTAATGCTAATCTCTAACGCTATTCCCAAACAAGCCCTTTATTGAAGTCTTTGGGGTGGGGGGTGGGGGGGTCAAGATGTACACAACTTTACCATTTAAAAAATTTGAGAGGTTATTTCCGTTAGACCCATGATGCACTGCAACCTTTACTGCTCATATCTTTATTTTATGGAAAGGAAGAACCAAGAGAAGTTTGACAACTTATTTTAAGTGACCGGAAATGGCCAAAAGTGACGACAAACAAGTCTATAGTTGTTCACTGAAAGTGGAGAAAATGTGGAAGCATAGGACCAAGTTACGAATGACGTATTATACCTCCGTGAGACCAAAAGAAAAAAGTGGGAAATTCTCTCTTTTTCCCCCAAGTTGGTTGCACGTACATATTGAACGTTTTGCTGCTATGTTTTTCAGGCAGGAAAGGGTGATTTTGAAATGCTTGAGAAGAAAGCTTTTGAATGGGGCGAACCAAAAGTCCCTTCTGCTAAACAGGTAAAATAAAAATTAGAGTATGTTAATGGTTGAATGATAGACATGCCGATACGTCCCGGGTTATTTCAAGCTTTGGGTCAAGAAATGTTTGTTCATGACCTAGAGAATTCGGGTCGGAATGGACGTGATGGGTTTGGACATTAATTTTAAGTTTTTGGATTTTATTCTTTTCCATCATCTCCGATGGAGCTAAAATTTCACCATTTTTTGGCTTTGGGGTGTGATGGAATAAATCAAAATGGATCTCTAAACTGTCTGCGCTTCTTTAATTAATGAAGTAGCAGTTAGTCAAGCAATGCAACTTTCGACGTTGAGCCGGGGGTCTCTTTGGAAACAGCCTCTCTACTTTCGAGTAGGGGTAAGGTCTGCGTACACACACCCTCCCCAGACCCTACTCTTGTGGGATTTAACTGGGTTGTTGTTGTTTTTTGGATTTTATTCATGAAACTTAACAAAGTGTGAAAATTGTGTAGGAACTTGCGGAGATGATTCTCCAAGGCGCAATATAGATGCAAATCTTGACAGTCCTTACAAAATACATCATAACTGTTGTCTTCTTCATCAAGGAAGATTCTTGACTGTGTGTGAATTGGTCTCTCTTTTTATACATTTGATAGATTTGCTATGTTCTTGAATTTCAGCATTGAGAGGAGGGAGTAGAGATAATTAGAAATGCAGGTCATGTTCATTTTCTGCTAAACCTTGTAAACATTATACTTCCTTGACTTGGCAAAAATATGTTTCGAATAATCTATATTCCGAATTCCAAGAAATTCGATTGCCAAACTGCTGTTTAAACTATCTGTTTTTTTTTTGTTTTTTATTTTTAAATCCCAGTGGGTAAACCACCAAAATCGGTGGGGTAAGGTCTAGGCAACTGTTATGAAGTTTTATTAAGATAACTCGTTGCTACAAAGTAAGGGGAGGACCATACCCACCAAGGCTAGGAAAAGACATTATGAGCACACCCATAATATCCAAAATCCTCTATAACCTCAGTCAACTAGTAATGGTTTTTACTTTGAATCTTCTGCAAAACCAACCTTGCAAAGCTGCCAAATGAGACCCCCTACATAACCATAATGTACTAATACCACCAATACAAACCTGATACATGTAGGGGGAGAGAAACTCCAAAGAAAGTAAATCCAAAACTGATACAGAGGAAAAAATAATCTTAGGCAAAACTTGAGAAAGCCATATTTTAGATACAATCTGGCTACTAAAATTACAAAGACTTATAGGCCTGAAGTCAGCAAAGGTATTGGGACAGTCAACTTTAGGGAAGAGGGTGATGGAAGTATGACTAATGTTTTTAGAGAAATAATCTCCTAGGAAAAACCCTTGAACCATAAGAAGAACATCCTTGTGGACAATGGACCAACAAGACAGGTAAAAGTGCCCAGCAAAGCCATCAGGTCCTGCAACAGTATTAGGAACCAGAGCAAAAACTGCACTTTTAATCTCCTCCAGCTCAGCCACAAGCATGTGATTGTCCTCTTCAGAGACAAGATTAGGGAAACAATCTAGCACCCCCAAAATCAATACCAGCAGTGGACTCAGCTAAAAGTCCCAACTAGCAGAGAGGGGCATGGGAAGACCACCTTGGTTTTTCTCCTGGATGTAAACTGCAGCTGAAATCTCCTAGAACTACCCATGGGAGATCAGAATGTGTAGTCGCAAAGAGCTGCAAATCATCCCAGAGAGTCTTTCTTCCTGAGCCAACTTTTGGTTGTAGCATAAACAACAGAAACATAGCTTATAGAGCTGGATCCAAGGATCCCAATAAGAGAAGGATGATATTTTTGAAGCAAATTAGTAAGACTTTCAAGAGATCCTCTAGAGATCCCTCTGACATTCCACACAATGGTGGAAAACATGTTAAATTTGAGAAGAAGGAGAAGAAGAAGATCTGGTCCTCTGCCAGTCTTCTTAGGATTAGGGGTCTGAATGGCCTTAGCTTGAGGCTTGTTTTTCCTTGTGTGTGCAGCTGGGGGATGCAATAAGTATTTTTTTTGGCTTTCTCACTCAAAACTTTGTTAGCAGAATCTTCATCTTCTTCGAAATGTGGGCACATTTATCCTTCGTCTGAGAAGAAGACATTGTTTTCCAAGGTGGGTTTATTTGTCATGTGCGTGATTTGTTTTGCACTTTGCAGATTTATACTGATGCTAATTTGGACAAAATGAAATTGATTGAGAACACAAAGTAACGTCGGGCATACAAAATTGAAGTATTGTTATTTGATTACTGTTTGTGTACAATTTTTTTCTATCCTTATCCCTTCATTCCCCATCATTCATCATCATCACTCAATTAAAAATATGAATCTTTTGATATATAGTTTTAAAAATATGTGTACTATTTAAAAGTAACTTTAAACAATTAAAATCATTCAAGTAATATAAATTTGACGTGAGGGAGCATGTGCTACAAATGAAAGAATGAACTTTATGCCTAAGGGACTTTGAGAATTCAGAAAGAAGAAAAGATTGGAACAATAATTATTAACAAAGGTATAATTTTGAAACAAAAAGTAAAACAAAACATTGAACAAAGTTTATCTGAACATGCAACAAGGGCATAATTTTAGTACCAAAAGTAAAACAAAACAAAGGAGAATGTTCAGGGGCATAAATTTAAGACCAAAAGTAAAATAGCATTAGCTTTAATCCAACACGGGACAGTCATCACAAGAACCAATTAGGATACTGGGTTCATACTAATCTACTACCAATTACTAGTTAAATAACAAAAATAGTGATTTAATCCAACTAGGGACAGTCATCAGAAGAACCACTTAGGATGTAGGGTTCATACTAATCTACTACCAATTACAACACCAATTAGTAGTTAAATAACAAAAATACTGAAGTCTAGATGCATACATATCAAGCCCTTTATGCCTTAATCTCCTCCTCAACAGTCTTTTGGAGAACTCCTCCTAGCTTAGCAGCCTGGCGTGCCAAATCAACCCGGCATAACAACCCAAGGCTCTCTCCCAAAGACTGGCAGCATCCAATCTTGCCTTTCTCCAACAGTATATTATGCCCTGCAACATCAAAATGTTGCCCCCTAGTGGCAGCATACAAGGCCCAAGCCTTGGACAAATCCTCCCAGTTTTTAATCAAACCTTCAAGAGAAGCAAATGTATCCACCCCATCATAGATGTTAACCACAGCTTCAAGGGGCATAAGATTACTCACCTCACCCCTTTTTATCCTCATCAGATGCCCTTTGAAACCAAGGACACGAGTCAGGGAAGTCGGGAATAGGAAGAAGACCACCTTCGGCAGCAAGATCACCCACCATGAAACTCTTGAATCCGCAGCAAACTTGATGTTCAATGGGCTTAAACCACACCGCTTCGCAGATATGAACAAAGAGCACTTCACAAGAGCGCTTCCGAATGGATGAATCAGGATCCTGCATGTCCTCTATAGCTTTGGTCAATATCTTCGCACCCAATGTCGTGGTGTACGGAAACCTATACCGGATACTCTCAACATCCTCTTCCGCAATGTCAATCACAAAGTCTATACCCTTAAAACTGATCCACTTCCCTGAATACTTATCAATTTTTTATATAAGGACGCTCGTAGTTAACCCGGCATATCTTAACTCAACTTCCATTAGAGGGAAGTCCTTACTTTGTTTATTAAACCAACACTCTGGAATACCTTTTACAACACACCCCCTAGCACAATTCGTTCTTAGCATTGGGATCAACGCAGTAAAGCTCTGCCCAGGATACTAATTTTTTGAGTCAATTGTGCTAAGGAGTGTGTTGTAAAAGGTATTTCGGAGTGTTGGTTTAATAAACAAAGTAAGGACTGCCCTCTAATGGAAGTAGAGTTAAGACATGTCGGGTTAACTACGAGCGTCCTTATATCAAATATTGATAAGTATTTAAAGAAGTGGATCAGTTTTAAGGGTATAGACTTTGTGATTGACATTGCAGAAGAGGGTGTTGAGAGTATTTGGTACATGTTTCCGTACACCACGACATTGGGTGCGAAGGCATTGACCAAAGCTATAGAGGGCCTCCTGATTCATCTATTCGGAAGCGCTCTTGTAAAGTGCTCTTTGTTAATATCTGCGAAGCGATGCAGTTTAAGTCCATTGAACATCAAGTTTGCCGCGGATTCAAGAGTTTCATGATGGGTGATGCCGAAGGTGGTCTTCTTCCCATTCCTGACCTCCCTGACCCGTGTCCCTGGTTTCTAGGGGCATTTGATGAGGATAAAAGGAGTGAGATGAGTAATCTTATGTCCCTTGCAGCTGTGGTTAACATCTATGATGGGGTGGATACATTTGCTTCTCTTGAAGGTTTGATTAAAAACTGGGAGGATTTGTCCAAGGCTTGGGTCTTGTATGGTGCTACTAGGGGGCAACATTTTGATGTTGCAGGGCATAATATACTGTTGGAGAAAGGCAAAATTGGATTTGCTTCTCTTTATAAGGATTGTTAGTTGTGTGAATAGAGGATTTTTTTGCTTGGCGAAAAGCCATTTCAGTGAAAAAAAGAATAAAATGGGCCTGAAAAGAAATAAAACAAGAATTAAATATTACAATTTAAAAAGAGAAGAGGAAAATAATGCCTAACAATGAAGAGGAAGCAAATCTGAATGTAGGAGACCAGAAGTTCTAGGTGTCAAGTTATATGGATGTATTTTAACTAATTGTGTGCGTAATGTGAAATTAATTTGACCCCATAGAGGCCGGCTAATCTTAGCCTCTTGGGTTAATTTTAAGAACCAATTGTATTAAAGCATTCCTAATCCTCTTCATTAATGCCTCCTACGCTCCCGCTTAAACTCACTCAAGAGAGAATAAACAAAATTTTACCTGAGCAATTTGGATCTCCTTCTAACAAACTATGCGGCGGCAGAAGAGGAGGAGGTAACCGGAGCTACAGCGGCGCTTGTGGCTGGTGCTGCTTTCCAAGAAGAATGTAGAACACAAAGGGTTTAGGGCTTTACAAAAGGTTATTTACATACTGGGGTTTTTTTTTATTTCTTCATAATTCTTCTAATAAATCAATTTAAATAAAATCATTAGATATATAAATAAATTTTGTACTCCGTATGTCCATTGGGTAAAAACCTCTTTAAGCAGAAAAACCGAGTTCAACATATACTCGAGTACATACGCAGACTAGACCCAAATACCCAAAAAAAAACTTGAAAAAATACCTGTAATTATGTCATTCAAAAAAATTGTACCCTATTTCGGATTTATTTTTTTTTTTTAAATTATTCAATGAATTAATATGAAATATTCAAACCATTAACGGTATAAGATATAAATAAATCTAATCAAAATTCAATAGAAAATTAAGAGTAAATTCCATAAAAGTTCCTCGTTTTACACAACCTCCCCTGGAACTCACCGGCCCAACCCCCACCGCCGCCCCAGCACCCACCACTGCCGCCGCCAACCCCACCGCCATGCCACCCCAGCCCCCACCACTACCGCAGATCTAACCGACCACCGCCGGTAGTCACATCATCATCGATACAGCCATTGTTTCCGGCCCCACCATTGTGGTACAGATCTAAAAGAAAGAATAAGGAGAAAGAAAAGAAGAAAGAGAGAAAGAAGTGTAGACTCACCATCGCCATCCCCGGCCGTCATCATCTCCGCCTTGTGTATGCCTAGATCTAGAAGAAAGATGGAAGAGAAAGAAGAAGGGAAAGATAAGAAGAATAAAAAGTAAGGGGGAGAAAGAGGAGAAGAGTAGGAAGAGATTGAAGAAAGGAAAGAAGAGATGGGAGAGAAAGACACGAGGAGGAGGAGGAGGAGGAGAAGAAGAAGAAGGAGATTGAAGAGAGGAAGAAGAAGGGAGATTGGATGAGAAATAGGAGACGAGGAAAATGGGTGGAGGAGAAAAAAGATGGAAAGAGAAAAGAAAAAAGGAAAAGAAGGAAGAGGAGGATATTTTTGGAAAAGGAGTGAAAAAAATAGTAGGATGAGAACATCATTTCCGAATGGAAAAAGAGTAGAACGGGAAAATTGATATAATAATTGGGGACTAAATTAGTAATATTTGATATATAGAGATTAAATATGTAAAACAATTTATAACTGTGGACCTTTTATGGAATTTAATCAAAAATTAAATAGTAAAAACCATTAAATCTGGTATTAAATTAACATACAAACAAACGGTAGCCTCAAAATACAATATCAACAAGTAAATATTTACTGCATATAATGTTAAATGAAACTTAATAAAAATTTGAAATGCAACCATACAAATTAAATTACATTAAAAATAAAATAAATTCTTGAATAACTTTTGCTTATCAAAATATTTTATCTACTATTTAAGGTAGGGGTGGGCACGAAATTCGTTCTCGTTGGACCGTTCCGAAAAATCCCGAATCCGTTTTGTAAATGTATCGAATAACTGGGACACAACTTTTTTATCCCGAACCCGTTCCGTCCCGTTATCAAATGGGACATGAGCGGGACAACTTAAATTTATACCGATCCGTCCCGTTTTATCTATTTTATTAATATATAATTCTAATTCTATACACTCATTCTTTAATTAATTAAGTTAACTTCAATACTACCTACTGCTTTTGTTTTTTTGAATGACAGTAGCTAATTGCTTGGTGTATATGAACACAACTAGTTTTTGGATGTCTTAGGAAGTTAATGACTTTTATCTATGACATTTTGTGACTTTTGGATTGAGTACCCCCCTCTTATATTTGGGATTAGGACAAAGTAGGACGACCCGAATCCGTCCCGGTTTGTTCCGATGCCGAATTTTATTGGACAAACCGGGATAAGATTGTAATTCGAACCGTTCCGGACCGTTTATATATAACGGGACAAGACCGGAACAATCTAAAATCCGGACCGTCCCGATCCGTGCCCACCCCTAATTTAAGGCATGCTTTGACTATATTAAAAATAAACGAATAACAATAGAAAGATTTATAATCAAAATTTTAATTTTCAAACATAAAGGAAACAAATTAAAACGAAAAATAATATTAAAAATTTACAATTTTCGTTAGATCCAAATACATAAATGCGTAACATTTTGCAATAAGGTCTTAAAATAAAGTAAGATATTCGGTGTAGTTGAAGAAATCGGGAAAATAATGCATTGAAATAACAAAAAAAACATTTATAAGAAAGGAAATAGACAATCCCATTGTTATGAACTTTAAATCAAATCAAATTCTCCGAAAGCCATCCTAAATAGGGGTCATGCTACACTTACACCATAAATTGTATCTCATTTGTATATCACAGTTATACACAAACGTTTTGATGCTTTACACCGACACAAGTGTTGGTGCATTAACAAAAATTTACATGGACACAAAGTATTGATGCATTAATAAAAATTAGTTTTACACCAACACAAAGTGTTGGTGCAAACCTGCGAGGTACAAAATGGGATACAAAAACTTGGGGTACAAATAGCTTTATCCCCTAGAATAGTTCAACAAAATTGAAAGAGAGAACAAAAAAGGACAATGCTACATGCACCCCAAAGTTACCCCATTTTGTACCCCAACATAAAAGACCCCCACCCTACACGTGCAATCAACCCCCCCACCCCACATGTGCAAGTAATCCCCCACCAAATTCACTCTGCCTCTCAACCTTCTGTCTCCTCAGTTTCTTTTTTTTTCCGATCTAAATTTCCTCCTCGCCGTCTTCACACTCGTCTCTGCCGCCGGTGGTTCGTGTCCTCCTCACACCTACCTTCGTCTCTCCCGTCCTGGTCTGTGTCCTCCTCGTCTTCCGATTGTCATTCACAGCAATCCATCTCTGCTGTCATCACAGGCCCCCTCTTTGCCCTCTTCACATGCCCCCTCTCTGCCGCCGGTGGTCCGCCAACAAGGTAATTGCTCCTCCTTTTGTAATTGCACCTCTTTTCCCAAAAATTGTTTAGAAACCCTAAATGCAAAGTTACTGTAACATTCTCTTAAGTTTGGTGTGCTTTTCTCTTAAGTTTACTGCAATTTTTTTGTCAAAAAATAACATGATGTATAATCATTTTAGTGGATGCATGGGCAAAGCTGTACAGCAGCTTCACACCTACATTTTCTGCCCAAATGCCTGAGCTCTGGTCAATTTCTACTCAATTGAGTATGTGGCCATGTTAATATATTCATTGATCTCTCTCTTAAGTTTACTGCAATTTTTTTTCCTCAAAATACACCTTGAGGTATAATCATTTTTGTGGATGTCTGGGCAAAGCTGTACAGCAGCTTCACACCTACATTTCTGCCCAAATGAGTATGTGGCCATGTTAATATGTTCATTGACCTCTGGTGCAAAACAAATAAACTAAAAGAAGAGAATAAATATCCAAACTCACAATATCCGTAGGTGAAACCTACATACTACCTTATTGCACTTACATAATTGCTGGTGCAAAACAATTAAACCTGAAAGGAGATAATAAATGCCCAAGAAAACAGAGTCTTTTCAATGAACCAACACTTTCTACCTGTTTATAACTAAAACTAACATAACACAAACATTTCATGCTAGTGCAATAGGAAATACTCCCTCCGTCCCTAAATAAATTTCTCTTTTTGACTTTTTGAGGATTTAAGAGAGGAATATTTTTGCGTTGACTTTCCAAAAATACCCTTGATGTGATGTGTAAAAGTAAGATGTGATAGGTAGATTATTAGTAAAAAGGTATGATGTGATAGGTAAGATATGAAAAAGTAAAGGATAAAAGAGGTTTTTTAAGAGAAAAGAAAAGTTTATTTGGGGACAAAAAAAATAGGAGAAATTTATTTAGAGAAGTACCTAATAGGGAATAATTACTAATATTACGGGAAGTGTACACCAAGCTCTCAACCAACAGATACACATATTTGCTCCCAACCTCTCTCTTCATTCTTCATCGCATCGCCTGGAAAACCATTCGCTCGTAGCCTGCTTACGAAAGAATCCGTTTTTGAGGTAAATCTAATCTATAAATTAGTTTTGTTATCAGCACAACAATTAGGTTTAGGTTTGATTTCATGTAGGGGCAGATTAATCTGTGTTTTTTTTTCATTAAAAGAAAAACTTGATCTGAACCTCCGATTTAGATCTCTGATATCATATTTCAACATAATTTACTGCAGCGAATCTTTCTTTGCATTATGGATCTCATGAAAAAATACCCTTTTTTTGCTACGGAAGATGTGGAGGAGTTTGTAAATCGGTACCCTCATGTTACAAAAGGAGATATGGCGAAGCTTTTCCTCACTGCTTTACCTTACTACCTGGATGACTTTGCTCAATATATCAATATCATACGAAAAACCGAAAAAGAAAAAGGCAGAGAACATGTTGAAGCTTTGCCTTTACTTCATGTGCATTCTGTACATGTACAACCAAAAGGAGATGTAGAAAGTGGATCACTCCCTGTATATGGAAAGATTTGGGTTAAGTATGTAGATGTCATTAGTGACGAACCCTTGCACCTTGATGTTTACAACCGAAGTGCCGAGGATCCCGACCACATAAGCCCAAGTGGTGGTTATTTAACTCTTGGTTGGCGTAATCCTTTCCCTACTTATTCTAGTTTGTGGATGGCATTGTACGGAACAACAATAGAAGTAGATCTCTATCTCAAAAATGGGGGTAAGAGCATTTCGTTTGCTCGAGAAATTTTTTTGGTGGGGAGTGCAACTGAAGGCGATGTTGAAGAATTGAAATCAAAAAGAATTCCGTAATAGACTTTGCTCTGCTACCTTGAGTTATATTAAAATGCCATTTGGTGCCCTTTGCAGTGTGAATGTTCGATTCTCTAGCAGAGATGAGGGCCTAGTTGTTGATGCTGTTGGAAAGATTGTTGCGCGATATAAGAACACTTGTGGAAACTATAACTCAGAACCGTGTGTTCTTTTTGAGAAGCTGAATGGCTCTGAACCAGTAAAAATGAAGGAAAACCTGTGTATGTCGAGAACATGGTTGGGGTTGCCTGCATATTCGTCACTTGAAGTTGATCTGGATTTGACAGACTTCAACACAGGAAAAAAACTTATCAACAAAAAAGTAGAAGTGTTCAACGGGAATGGTGATTTTGCAAGGAAAGGTGAAGTGGATGCGGGTGATTTTGCGGTTGTTGTGGATGCAGGACTGTTTTCGTGCCCACATATGGGCAATGCGTGGAGTGATGGGGAACAATATGGGGTAATTCATTCTCTGGAAGCAATAACTCTATGCAAAAAGAAGTCCAAAGGGGCTTAAGCCACTGAATTATGAAACACTATACACTCTAGATATATACAGTAGTAGTAAAAATATTACAGATTTTACAGTAATTATGGACTAAATTAGCCATTTTGACATTGTTTTAGCTTAAGGTCAAAACTAATATGGCATACTAAACTTCTCCACTTGTCCTTTTATGATGTTTTTGGCAATAAATGTACCCATGCATCAAGGGTCTAACAACTATGGCCTCTCTGTTGGTAAGGTTGCACACATCCAGCCCCCCCAAGATCCCAACAGAGTTGGGACTACATAATGGGGTTTTTTCTTCGGTCAGTTTAAGGTCTCATTTTAGTTCATGTTCATCTTGTTTTCTATTACTAACACCATAGAAGTATTGTTAAAGGGTGACACGTTACAGTATGAGAACATTGCATTAGTTTGATATATTTTTAATTTTGCATCACTCTTTATCTAACATTTTTTCATTTCTCTTCAGTCTTATATCACATCGTCATCATCCAACAATGGCAACCCTAGGTCTGTGATTCTTCCATTTGTGCCCTTTCAATATATTAGCTTAGCCACTTTTTGTTAATAACTTTATTGTTTCAATTAGGTGCGATGATCAAGACCGAGAAAGTATACTGAGACCATCATGTTTAGCCCAATTCTTTTCAATCTTCATCGGCCGTAAAAAAATGGGGGCGACACAGTTGAATTCTCTTCCGATGATAACACTCACTACCTGTTTAAGAGGACAGGTAATGATAGTGTGCAAGTAGAAGATTCACAGAAAGTTTTACCATTGGGAGATGTGTGTATGAGTTTTCACAAGAAAAGCATTCTTGAATTGAAGGTTGATCTAAAAGATGTTGGTGGGAAATTTCAGAGTAGAGGTTTTGCTACTTATGACCTTGGGGAATATAAACCTGATATATCCTATAACAGCCAAATCTGGTCTGTTTTCCCGGGAAAAGATGGGTTTTGTGCGTTGCATTACTCCATGTTCTCAAGAGCTTATCTTGCAAAGATTGAGATCACTTTAAAAGTTAAAAGTGCTCATTCCGGGGTTTACAAGATCTATGGAAGTGCAATTGCGCAATATAGTGACTTTGACTACTCAACTAAGTTCAAAGAAGATTATTTTCGGAGCGTGCTTTTCAAAAGGACTGAGAAGGATCCAGTACAATTAAAGGACAATGGGAGACTGCCACTTTCTCAATGTGCAGTTGCGGTGCCAATGGATTCGTCCCTCATTATTGCAGTAGATTTTAGGGACACGTCTTTGACAGATCATTTCTTATGCAAGGAAGAGTTCAGTATTGGATGTTGCTCCTTTAGCGCAAAGGCAAATGAGCATGAACTTGACATCAAGTTGACTTGGAGTGATGGTAAGTAATTGTTTTTTATTCGGTTATACTATACTATTTAAATTCTGTTATTCCAATTTTTTTTGTCTATAAGAATATGTCCCAAACCAAAGCAGTGTGCCTGTGTCTCAAGTGTTAGAGACTTCGAGTCCCACATTTGATTATTTTGTAACAAATGATAGGTTAATAAGATATTCAGTTGAACTACCTAATTGGTTTGTTTGGTTTAGGGTTAGGAGATGAAAATCGGTGATCAAACACGATCTTTCGCATAAAAGTTTGCAAAGTTTCGGGCGGTTGGGATAATCGCAGACTTTCAATTTTTGGACGGGTACCACTTGTTGTGACAACAAGAGCTTGCCTCGTTGTATATATGGGAGACCACAAAGTAGTAATGCTCCAAGTCTTTGCAAATTCTAGTCTTGTTCCAAAGGCGAGATCACTCTAGGAACCAATGCTCACTGCACAGAAGGAGTCCCCCTCATATATTTTAGAGAGGTTGCTCTTAGGTGACACTCGGTCCTTGATTTTTTGTTCCAAATTTTACTTTTGAGACACTCGAAGTGCCCATCCATGCATAAAAATTCTATTGTCAAGTTAGTGTGTGATGTCATACCTACAATCTCAATGCACCTTATTTATCTGGAGATTGAGATTTAAAAAAAGCCCGGTTCTTTTTGTTTGGGAAATTAATTTGAATTAATTTGTAATTTGAAGGCTTGCACCAATATTTTGTGTTTGTGTTTGTGTTATACCGGTATGATGATTCACATTTGACGTAAAATTTTAGTATAATTTCTTTTAATTCACAAATTCTTTGAATTCACAAATCTTTTAATTCAGCAATGCACTTCTGGACGCTACTAAACCTGCATCTGCCTCTCGCATCAAAGCATTGGGTGAACCAAGGAAACTCGCGTTTAACATTGGCGAGTATGCGTAAAAAGAGAGGACGACTCATCCGAAAACGATTACTAAAATCCTCCGGTGTATAAACAAACGGAGTATTAAAATTTATCAAAAAAAATGTTTATGCAAGCCTACAGCGAGCGACATCCAACAATTACAGGCAAGGCATGCTGCTAAACACAGCTTTGTCAGCATGCTTGGGAGTATTGATTGCATGCATTGGAAATGGAAAAATTGTCCCACTGCGTGGCACGATCAATTCTCCCGGGGAGATCATCCCAAGCCTACGATCATGCTCGAAGCTGTTGCTTCGAATGACTTGTGGATTTGGCATGCTTTTTTCAGTGTCGCGGGCTAGAACAACGACATCAACGTTCTCGATCAATCGCCTATTTTTGACGATTGGGTTAATGAGACCGCACCGGACTCCTCTTTTGAGCTTAGAGGGATGCTTCACAAGCGTGGATATTATTTGGCCGATGGAATATATCCAGATTATTCCACGATTGTCAAATCAGTCTCCGAACGAATGGATCTTAAATGCCAGACCTACAAAAAAACTCAAGAGGCAGCAAGAAAAGATATTGAACGAGCCTTTGGGGTCCGACTGCGATTTGTCAATACAACCCGGACGAGGAGGTGCCTATTGTAACGCCCAGCATCCCGGTCGAATAGAATTGATTAATTAATTACTGTTCCGGACCGGAGTTAGGGAAAAAAATTCTTAGAAAAATTATTTGATTTATATGTACTACTGATTTAATTTACAAATCTTTTACTTCGCATTTTATCACTTAAATTAAGGTTGTTGTCTATTTTTATATAGAATTTGTATAATTTATAGTGGCATCGTAACAATATCATTTGATATACTAGCTCATTATTTTTACACTTGTATATATACTTCATTTACACATAGGGAGGAGAGGCTACATACAAGGCTAACATTAAAAGTTTTAATATACCAAGGAATCTTATCTAAAACTGACATAAGTTCGAACCGATATAAACCCGAACTGGTATAAACCCCAACTCATATGAACCCGAATCAAAACCGAACTGAAACCGGGATAAAATAAACTGAATTTAACCCTAAACCGGACCGACCCCAACCGATTGCCAGGTCTAGGCAAAAGACTAAACTATTAAAAATATATCAAAATAGGACTTTTATGTTTTTATTCTCGAAATAAGAGTTAAAATTAATTTACATCATCAAACATAGATATGCATATTATCAAAAAGTATAAAAATATATGCATGTACAGTGCTACATTATGATCATATTACACGTGTGAACTCCTCTTTCAAAAATAAAAACAAGAAACTTTTTTGATTTTTTAAGTGTTGGGGGATTTTTATTTTGTTAATGAGATACAACAGAACCGGCCACCCCTCACAATGTAAATTCGCTCCCAACCTTTCACTTCATCGCATCGCCCGTGTAGAAAACTCTTTCGTTCGTCGCCGTTGGCTTAAGAAACAATCCGGTTTTGAGGTAAATCTAATCTCTGAATTAGTATTGTTATCATAACAACAATTAGGTTTATTTTTGATTTCATGTAGTAGTGTATTAATGTGTGTTTTTTTCTTCATCAAAACAAAAACCTTGAATTGAATTTATTGAACCCACGTTTTAGATCTCTGATCTCATATTTCAACACAATATTCTGCAGCGAATCTTTCTTTGAGCTATGGATCTCTTCATGAAACATTACCCTTATGGTTCGCATAAGGATGTCATGGAGCTTCTAAATCGTCACCCCAATACTACAGGACGAGATATGGAGAAGCTTTTCATCGATTGCGGCCCAGATTTGGCGAGGTCACTCCGCCTCCCTAACCCTAACATCCTCGGATTCGTGGAAACATCTATTCGTGGTATCAGTATCTCACGAGAAACCGAAAAACAAAAAGGCAGAGAACACGTTATAGCTGGGCCTTTACTTCATGTGCATTCACTACATGTACAACCCAAGGAAGCTCTAAAAGGTAGACCGCTTCTTGTATGTGGTATGATTCGGGTTAAGTATCAAAATATCATTACTGGAAAAGAGGTGCATCTTGATGTTTACAGACAAAGTGCCGAAGAGGCTGATTACATAAGCCCAAGTGGTGGTAATTTAGTTCTCTTTAGGCCTGATATTTTCCCTGATTGGATTACTGGCTATCAAGATTTCTGGATGGAATTGCAAGGAACAAGTATAGAAGTTGATCTCTATCTCAAAATTGGGGAATCGACCCATTCGTTTGCTCGAGAAAAGTTTTTGGTGGGGAGTACAACTCAAGGCGATGTTGAAGAATTAAGATCAAAAGAATTCCAGCATACACTTTGCTCTGCTACCTTGAGTTATATTAAAATGCCATTTGCTGCCCTTTGCAAAGTGGATGTTCGATTCTCTAGCAAAAACAAGGACCTAGTTGTTAATGTTTCTGGAAAAATTGTTATGCGGTATAGGAACATCTGTGGAAACTATAATTCAGAACCGTGTGTTCTTTTTGAGAAGGAGAATGGCTTTGTATCAGTTAAAATGGAGGAACTCCTGCCAAGAAAATTGTTGGGGGTGCCTGCATATTCATCACTTGAAGTTGAGCTTGACTTGATGGACGTCAACACAAGCAAGCCTATTAAAGAAAAAATAACTATGTTGAATGAGGATGGTCCACATGCAGGTGATTGTGTAGTGGATGTGGATGGTGATTTTGCGATTATTCTGTATGTAGCATTGATTCCGCATGTACAGAGGCTAAGTGTGCACAAAAACGAGGTACTTTGTTCTCTGATCGTAATAACTCTATGCAAAAAGAAGACCAAAGGGGCTTAAGCCACTAAATTATGAATCACTATACACTCAAGATAAATATAGGAGTGATAAAATTGTTACAGATAATGAATTTGATTTTTGAATTTAATTTTTCCCATTGCTAATGAAATTGCAAAATAGTCATTTAACAATGCTTTAGCTTCTGGACTAAATTAATATGGCATGCTAAACTTCTCCTGCTTATTACTCGTTTTTTAATGATGCTTTTGGCAATAAATGTAACCATGCATCAAGGGTCTAGCAACAATGGCCTCTAGGTAAGGTTGCAAATATCTAGGCTTT